CGCCCTGTGCAATACAAGCCCAGACCAAACGAAGCCCCGAAACCGACCCTGCTTGACTCCCCAATCTCCCCCAAAATCGTAGGCCCCCGAGCGCTGAACCTTGAACCACGTGTAGCGGCCCCTAAACCCTAAAGCCTAAACCCTAAACCCTAAACCACGTGTAAAACACTGGGCCTTCAACTTTTCAACGCCGGCCATCCTGGGATGGCTTGGCGGCGGCCTGGTTTTCGGCTTTTGCTGCCGGCAGCCAGGGCCTTGATTTAGGGTTCAGGGTTTAGGGTTTTGACTTGATATGGTCATGTCGCTGGAGTATATAAGCTTTTATTTGGTTGGGGGGGGGGGGGAAACAGCGGCCCCAAAAACCGAGCACCGCTTTGAGATTTATAAAGGTTTGGATGTAGGCTTAATGATGAATGGCTGCGTGACAAATCCAATTTCTTGCCTGCGCGAACTAAGTAGAGTCCAAACCACCAAGAAAGGTCATCGTACGGAACTTATGACTTACAGTGCCCTCGAACTTTTGTCTTTCGGGGCACATGAGGGCGTTGGCGTTCGCTCGCAGGTGCCAGGCCCCACGGCCTCCCCACACCCTCCCCCCACCCTCCCCCCACACCCTCCCCCCACACCCTCCCCCGACCCCCGCCCTCCCACCCACTCCCAACCGCCGCGGCCCCCCCGCCCCGCCCCCCCCCCCCAATGCCTGTTGCAAGCCAACTAGAAGGTTAGAAGAGGTGTTGCTTGCATCCCGTTGCTGATTTGCGTTAGCCAGCCGATCTGCAAAATCTGGAAAGCATCCGAAAAGACTTGCTTATGTGGACGCCCGCGTGCTGAGGCTGTTGGCGTGGTGGCCGACGGCTTCTTGCCGGACCGGGCGGTCATGGGCTTGGATAGCATTCCGGTATAGACCGCGGGAAAGATCTAGAAGCCCTTGACACCTTCAGCAGACTTGCCTGGTAGACCTCCAAAAACGCCAACTCAACCAAGACACCCAGCATCCTCCTGGCAAGAAGATGAGCATCTTGCTAGCGCTGGAAGAGGGCTCTCCACCGCCCAACCTGTTCAGTCCCGCGCAACTGCGTTTGGCTCTGGGTTTAGGGTGTAGGGCTTAGGGTTTAGGTTGCAACGGCAAGGAGGAAAAATTGTTTCCCAATGGGTTCCGTCACTTAGGCCAGGTAGCTTCCATCAAATGCCTTCCCTCTAGTTTTGTGAAAATGTACTGGTGCAGAAGACATTTGATTAGAGTTTTTGTTTGGCTTCCGCATCAGCTGGCAAAGTCCATGAACATCAGACGGCAAAGCCCGCGCATCAGGAGCATCAGCTGGCAAAGTTCGTGAGCATCAGCCGGCAAAGCACATGCATCATGGGCATCAGCTGGCAAAGCTTGTGAGCCAAGCCCGCGCATCATGAGCATCAGCTGGCAAAGCCCGTGAGCATCAGCCGGCAAAGCACGCGCGTCATGAGCATCAGCTGGCAAAGCCCATGAACATCAGACGGCAAAGCCCGCGCATCATGAGCATGAGCATCAGCTGGCAACAATCAGCTGGCAAGGAACAGCCGGCAAAGCTCGTGAGCATCAGCCAGCAAAGCACACGCATCATGGGCATCAGCTGGAAAAGCTTGTGAGCCAAGCCCGCGCATCATGAGCATCAGCTGGCAAAGCCCGTGAGCATCAGCCGGCAAAGCCAGCGCATCATGAGCATGAGCTGGCAAAGCCCATGAACATCAGACGGCAAAGCCCGCGCATCAGGAGCATCAGCTGGCAAAGCTCGTGAGCATCAGCCGGCAAAGCACGCGCATCATGGGCATCAGCTGGCAAAGCTTGTGAACATCAGCCAGCAAAGCCCGCACATCATGAGCATCAGCCTTCAAAGCCCGTGATCCTCAGCTGGCAAAGCCCGCGCATCTGAGCATCAGCCGAGAAAGCACGCGCATCATCAGCATCAGCTGGCAAAGCCCGCGCATCATGAGCACGAGAATGCCCATACCCCAAAATCATGTTTCCGCTGCCCTTCTTCCAGAAGGGGTTCAAATGAGGGTTGTCGCATCTTTGGGGTACATAAGGGAGTACTCATTCTTTTGAAATACCCAATTGAGCCTCAGACCTCAGTCCATTCTGACCCCGTGGAGCACCAGCGCGGCACCACAAAAGCCAAGCTGCCCAGTTGCCGCAAAATCCTGCACTTTGAGTGCAGCTGCGACCATGGCGAACCCTAGCCCCAACCAGGCGCCGCAAACCCCAGAAGGTGTCTATTCGGCCATGGAGAGCTACATTACCCTTGCCGAGAATACTGGGGCTCAAGCTTTCCACCCTAAAAAAGACCGACAAAAACATTGTACAGCTAAACCCCTACCACACCTCAAAGATGCGCAATATTGCAACCTTTTGTTTTTCAACGAATGAAGGGTTCCTGGCTGGCCCATGCCTCAGCTGCGCAGGACTGCACATCCGCGAGGGGCCTGCCTCAGCGCCCCTGCGCATGGTTCCGGGTTGGTGGATTCATTCATGCAGGACCCACAGGCTCTTGTTAGGCTGCTTTGTCAAGGATTGCTGTCCAATTGTCATAGCGCACCTATCTAGCTATTGTATGTTGGTACTCAAGTGCCCTTAGTTTGCACTCTTCCGACTGGCACTTCCTTGGTGCATTCTTGATCAGTATATAATTGATTGAGTCTTACTTCTGCGGGCGCCTGCTTGTTTTGTAGCCTCACCGGTTGCGATTGGACCCTATATACTTTAAAACCCTTTTGTAAAAGGGACTTCAGGCCTGAAACTTCTAGCATGAACCCTACAAGCCCCGCCAGGTGTCTAGACGCTTTGGCGGCGCTGGGTCTCCGGTTTGGCCGCGCGCTTTGCTTTCTTCTTTTCACTCTTCTATAAGTTTACCCGACTGTGCCGCAGGCCCGCAGGGTTCGGTGTTTAGGGTTTAGGGTTTAGGGTTTAGGGTTTAGGGTTTAGGGTTTAGGGTTGAGGGTTTAGGGTTTTTAGGGTAACCCTGGCAGTGGGACGAGCACACCAACGTGGAAGCTCCTGCTGCGCGCGGTGTTGTTGGCTTATCCTTAGTTCACATGCCAAGTTAGGCTTTAAAGGGAAACTTGAATGCTTATGAGCCCATGAAAAGCATATCTTGTCTTCATCTCCAACCGTATAGACAGTTAAACACATTCGATCATGCTAACTCACTGTCTAATGTAAAAACCTCACGAATTCTAGATAAGTTCGCTCCTGTACTTTTCTACCTCCCTGTCACTGGTCTTTCTTCAGCTCACCATTTAGTAGGACAGATGACGAAGACGAGAAGGAAGATCACACCATTATTTGAGTTCACGCTCTTAAAGGTTTTATTGCCCAGAAGGTGCATGAAATATCGCGGGTCATTATAACAAGCCTGTTACTACACTTGTTTTTCTACTAATCTGTTAATTTCCTGCATTTCGTTTGCGCGCATAGAATCATACGACTCGGAGTCGTGCGCTTTTCTCTCTTCTGTTTAATGGAGTTACAAGGCGCTCACACATTCACTCACTATATTAGCGACCAAGAACAATAGTAAGCAACAGAGCCGCTAGCCTCCAGCCTCAACTCTCAAACCCTGCAATAAGTTCTCGCCGTACTTAAAAAAAAGACAAGAAGGAAGTAACCCCTAAGCTGTCGCCCTGCATCCTCTGCACATGTCCGAGGTGAAACCTGGCACTTGGCCCAGAGTTGCGGCCGCGCTGCTGCACACAACTCACCGCCCTAAGTACCCTGTAGACCCTACTCAAAGCAAAGAAACACCTAAACCCATTCACTCCATAAGCCGCCTCCGAATTCTCGGCCCCACAGTCGCCCTGAAGCTTGGGTGCTGGTTGCCTAGGATCCCAAGCCCTGGTACCAGACCGAGCGATGGAATCTGAGATCTAGGCAGTCTAGGCAGCTAGGTAAGCAGACCACTGACCTTTGCTAACAAGTCTAGGCGACGAAAACCCGGTGCTGACGCTACTGGCGGAGCCACAAAGGCGGGCCAGCACTGCCAGCATGGTAGAGGCTCAGCATGGCTCAGCATCTTTCAAAATTTCAAGTGGCCAGCCCAGGCTTAGAACTTTGCCACGTGGGTTCCGTTTCTTGGACTCTCTCCCGGTCTCTCTCCCCCCCCCCCCCCCTTGTGGCAGATTGCCCGCCGGCCGGATCCGTCATCTGCTTCAACACCAAGCGGACGCCGCAGGTGCCATTCCCGGCAGTTTTCGAGGGTTTGCATAGCTTGTTGTTCTCGGAACAGTTGTGTTGATGTCAGCTACTTGCTTGGGTGTAGGAAGGCCTATAGCATCAAGATGTTGACATGCCGACCTTGCCCTTCAACTTCCAGTCTCCAGCCTCAGCGAGTGGCAAGCGCAGAATTTTTGCTTGCTGGAGGCATTTCACTGCTGCGATCTGGCGCGGTCGAGTCGCAGCGGGCGGCTACTCGATTTCTGGAGGTGGCCGCAGGCGCTGGCAGACGAAAGCAAGCCTACATGTGACAGCACGCAGACAACGCAGCGATAGAGAATTGTTGAGTCCTGGCTGTGGCCAGAGAAGCGGCAGAGTGGATACCAGTACGCCCAAAGAAGGGTCGAAGTTGCAAGGCCCAGACCTAGACTGCCAAGCCCCATGAGACATTGAACTAGTCAGGCGCTGTGCGGACTGCGTGCTGAATCGCCCCCTGACAGAGCCGCCTTTCTAGCAGCACTGTTGAAGGAGTCCCAAGCACTAGATACCCAAAGGCTCGCATGTAGTACCTTTTTTGGGTCCTTTTGAAAGAGTCCCAAGCTGGCCCAAGCACCAGATACCCAAAGGCTCCTATGTAGTACCTTTTTGGGGTAGCATACTAGAACCCTTGTAGCTAACCCAAGCAGGAACTACATTGGAGCCTTTAGATAGTACTAGTACAGGCCATGGCTATGCCTGCTTCGTGCGTGGGGCCTGCGCCGAACCTCATGCCGCGGCAGATGCGCTGGCGGCAGCGCGTGATGAGCTTCTGCATGGCATGGCCAAGCCTCTCGGCACACTGCACAACAGACAGCAGGTGAGGCCCAAAGCACTTCTGGCCAAAGCCTGCCTGTGCTTCCATCCACACTTTGTCAAATCCGTTGTATCTGCAATTCGCAAGTAGCAACAGCTGCATTGAGCTGCCAAGCCGAAGTCACGCCTATTGCAGTCGGAATCCGTAGGAGTGTCAGGGAATTACTCTCTGTGCCGAGTGCGAGTTACCGTCAAGCGGTTTACAAGAAGGACAGCGATGTCTGTAGAGCTTGTCTGTATGATGGCCGCCTCTTGAGCAACTCTGGGTCTGGGAGCCTGACAGACAAGTATCATGGGTTTGTATGACTTTTATTGGTGAATATTGGTGAGTGCATATCTTGGGACCCTACTTCATATCATGATGGCAGTCAGGGGCCATGGGTTTTGCAGACTTATCAAGAGAAGCTTTTTCTTGCCTGGGTTCATCAAGTACCACAGGCTGCTCCAAAGTGCGGCAGCGCTGCCAGACAAGGTGACATTCCAGTCGGTCAGCTTTGCGCAAGTTCGGGATATGGGGGTTTCCGAAAATAGGGGGTGCCTTCTTGGGGTCCTTATTAGGGAATCCCACAATTTGGGGGGCTATTTTGGGGCCCTACTTTCGTAAACCCCCATATGTCCCTTAAAGCCAGTATGGGCTGTGTCGGCTGCTTGTTCTGCAGGGTTCAATGGCTGGACTGATTGCCTGACGCCTTTGCATGCTCCAGGCGTGCAGTGTTCTCGTTTCTGGATAATGAAGTTGTGTTGGAGGCCAGTTTGGCTGAACTGACAGGTCCAAGCGTGTGCGGCATGAGAAGTCGCCGCTCCTCTGCCCCAGTACTAGGAGGATTCAGGGTCAAGCCACACCGTCTCGGATGAAAAGCGTCCATGCTTTGAATTACTTTTAAATTATTTCAGCATGAATGACAGCGCCTGCCCAAGCTAGACGGGAGCATTCAAGCGTCCTGTCCGTGGCGCACAGACACCATCCGCCGCCGTCCACCCAAACCCTAGACCCCAAACCCATAACCCTGAACCAGGACCCTGTTCACCAACGAAACAGGAGGGACCAGCCAGATGCCCCCAAACCCTCGGCCCTTAAACAAGACTCCTGAGCTTCAACTAGGATACCCTTTTTTTAGGGCTTCGGTGTAGAGTTAGGGTTTAGGGTTGAGGGTTATCACCCTCAAAATCCAGGGCTTATGCCTGCAATCCGGGCAATCGAGCCCATAGACCCTAAAGACGCCTTATGAACCCAAATAGATAGAAGCCTTTATCACCCTTAACCTACAAGCTTAGGGATTCGGGTTCAGGATTTTGGGTTACAGGTTAACCCTAAAACCTAAATCCCCTAAATCCTAAACCCTACATGTAGAAGGCCCTTAACCTTAAGAAGCCCTCCCTTGCCGAAGCTTCGTAGGCCCCTTGGCCGAGCGGACTGCGAGGGCCTGCGGCCGCCATCGCGCGCTGGGCCTTTGACCAAAGGCCTCGGAGCAAAAATACGGGTTTAGGGTTGAGGGCCTCTCCCTAAACCCAACCACTAAACCCTAAACCAAAGTAACCCCAAGAACGGCATTTTCGCTGAAAACTTGTGCAGGGGCAAAGCTTGCCACCCTACCTCAATCCCTAAAGCCTGGGTCCGAGTTGCGGGCAAAGAGTCAGAGACAAGCGCCCCGAGACCTTCTTCCAGGCATCTGGACTTCAGCAAGTCTGCCTCCTTGCAGCAGGGTTTTGGATTTGGGGTTTCCCAGATTGCTTCGCACTTGCCATATGCAGCCCGGCTAGGCGGATGACAACGAACGTGTAGCACGGAATACGGTCAGCTAGCTAGGCGCAAGCCTGTCCCGCGAATAAGCCAAGCCATGCTCGAAACATGTTTTATGTTTAAGGTTGCTTTGCTGGGCGGTGGCTCGTAGTAAAGTGCTCTGTGGCTATACATCTGCGTATATTGCAGAACCCTAAACCCTAAGCCCTAAACCCTTCTACTTGTAGTGTCGGGTACATCCGAGGTTCAGGATGCATTGGAAATGGATGGCTTCGAGGCAGTCGGATCCAGCGGTTCTTCTTGGGCCCGCGTGGGATTCAGTATCCTTGAACCCTAAACCCTAAACCCTAAACCCTAAACCCTAAACATGCTCCAGGGTTCAGGGCATGGTGCCTGCTCTGACTTGTGGTTAAGCTGAACCATGCTAAATGGCTTACGGATCAGCAAAGCCAAACAGAACAAAGACTTGTGCCCAAGGGCCTGCCCTGTCAGAGCATCGCGATCACCCCATCCAACATTCCCCCGCGGTAAGATGCCTCTCCTTCAGGAGAATGGGCTTCGGGAGTGTTCACCTTGCAGGATTTTGAAGTCTCATAGGGCAGCTTCCTCTTGCTGACATTCTGAGCTGGAAGCTCCACGGAAAGGCTGAGTCTAAGGCACACCCGAAGGTCGATTCTTGCTCGCGTGGAGGATTCAAAGTCGAGACACCTTTGAACATCCAAACCGCGCCTGTCAGGCACCGGTCGCAGCGACTTCGGCCGCTGGGCCACAGCCGGTTTGTAGCACTTCTCCAGCCTGGATATTCTTGCATCGTTCCTTGTTGGGTTGAGTTAGGGGGCAGGACGTCCTTGGGGCCTTAGGGCTTAGCTGCCAGGCTCCCCAATCTAGTGAGCCGTACTGTATCAGTGTATGTCTGTGTATATCTGTTGTTCGGGTGTCAGATAGTTGCAAGTCTGGCTTGCGCATCGTTGACCGGGCACCCCCTTTTCGCGTGCATAGTGGTGCGAGATGCAGTCGAAAAGCCTGAAGTCTATCGGAGCCGCGGTGCCTCCTCGCTGGTTTTGCTGCAAGTGATCGGGTTGGAAAGGGCGCAGGGCACTGGAAATAGGTTTCTGAGGCTTGAAATGGCACCTGCAGTGGCGCACAAGGATCATGTGAGCATCTAGCCGTGAAGCATACAGACACGAACGCGTTGCGCCTGCCGACGAATCCAGGAATGGAGTCCGGTAGCGAGGGAGAGAGCAACAGCGATCCCCACTCTGTCGCACGCGGGGTGCATTTCAACCGAAGATCTAGTAAAGCAACAGTTGTGCTGAATAAACTTGCCAAGCAGGCCTGAAACAAGGCTCGGATCATCCCTTTAAAGCATTTCACGGAAGCCACAGGCGCTCCACGATCTGGCTCTGCGAGTGGCAGCGGCGGGCTGCGCACTTCAGGCAGAGTCCCGTGGCGGTGGCTAACGGAATGTTCTGAAATGTAGGCACGTTCCGTGATGGTCCATTGTTCACCGAGCCTTGAAGACATTAATATTCCACATAAGCTTCAAAATCAGAATGATGCAATTCCAAAACGCATCAACCTTCTTTTACTTTCAGAGCTGGCTGAATACCAGTGGCATCTCCCCAGGCCCCCAGGTCAATGTCAAGCAGATTTGGGGCCATGTCAACAAAAGCCCTTGCTGACCTGATTGTAGTGGCCTTTGTGGAAGAGCTGAGGCTTTTGGCTTCCACGACGGTTTACAACATGCTGGGCACATCCCTTGTACAGAGGCAAGCTGCGTCGATTCGCATCGTCTTACTGAAAGGGATCTTTCTCCAACAAAGTTCATAAAATTGCAGACGAAAGCCGGAAGAGTCAGACGCAGCCAATCTTGCGTCAGGCCATGGCAGTTTGACACGACAGTTCGGCAAACATAGTGCTGCACTTGAGATGTCTGCTCAAATTTTTGCGCAGCTCTTCAACCTACACCGTGAGCAATATGAGATGCCACGAAGAACTTTACCAAACTAAGCCTAAGGCCCAAGCAATTAAAAAGCCGGCTGGGCAAGGCTGCCACAGCATGTCTTGCCGCGCTTCGAGTTTCACGGCGACGGCTGCTGCCGTCGTGCCTCGCCAGCTTGGTTTGCACACGAGGTTGGTGTACCTGTCCGCATCAGACTGGGAGGCAACTACCATACCATCTTCATGTTGTTTGACTGATTGTTGAAGCCTGAAAGGCGGCAGACTCTTAACAATTCCCGCGCTCTGGCGCAGAGACCCTAAAGCCTATAAGCCCTAAACCCTGATGAAGACCAGCCGAGGGTACCATGTGCTGGCAGATCTCTTGGGCCCGCGCCTCCATCAACCCGCTCGGCTTCTGGAAGTGGGGGTGCCTTGGTCGTTTCTTTGCTGTTTTTGCGGTCTGGAGTGCTGCACATGCAGCTCTAAGTCATTTTAAGGCTTACATGGTGCTAAGGCTCCCTCTACAACAACTGTCTCAGTCCATTTCTTTCAGGATTTCGGCCCGATCTCGCAAACCATTGCCGTGTTCGGACACTTACGCCCGAGAACCTCTTGGTAACTTGGTACCCCGGGGAAGCCCGTGCACGCTGGACGTACCAGGGCAAACCTGGTCTTAATCGGACATAACATGCCTTCCCCCGCGTGCCTTTTCGCAGTCGCTGTTGTCCGTCACACTGCCGCAAACTGCGTGGTCTCAGCAAGCTCCGACGACGGCCAAGACGTCTTCTGGCGGGCTGATGCCAAGGAATCCAAAAGCGAACAAACATGTCGGCTTTCCTTCCCTGAGGTGAACAACGCCATCACTTCTGAGACTCGGCTAGCAGCGTGAACCTGCCCACACCCTTATCAGCAAAGCCCCGTTAGCTCGAAAGTCGGCTTGTTCCGGGGGAACCGCAGCTTGAGGAATACCTTCTCAACCGGTTCGCCAACCTGCAATTCGCGCGCGGCTCAGGGAGTGAGAGGGCGTTTTCAGATGCTCTAAGTGTTTATGGTTTACGGTTGCTGGCCAGGCATTGTGCAATGCCGGAGTATGCTAGTCCGTGGTTGCAGGCAAGTCCGAATGCCGACTCCATCTTGAGCCGTCTTGTATGCCAAGGACGGTGTTGATCCTTACTTTGGCGTCGAAGACATCTACGCCGAGGCAGTTGCTGTAGTCGCCATAATAAGCAATAATACAAACCCCCTACCTAGTCGTAGTACCTTGGGGCATCTTTCGAGTGTGTAAGCAAATACTACTTGAATCTATCTGTGTGTGTAAACACAGATCTTGGTTGCAACAAGAGCAGCAACAACAGCAGACAGCAGGTTGCAGCAGCGGCTCCCTGACCTAACCCCCCAAACCCTAAGCTCTAAGCTCTAAGCCCAAGCCCTCAACCCGAAGAAGCCCGAGCACTGCGGGAGACCGAGGCTCGAAAGGCTGAATCAGCGAAAGTCCCATGACAGGCCTCGGCTCGCCTGCAGCCCTTCTCGGACAGGGCCAGGCGCCACAGTCGCAGCGATGTTTAGGGTTTAGGGTTTAGGGTTTAGGGTTTAGGGTTTAGGGTTTAGGGTTTAGGGTTTAGGGGGGGCGCACAAGGGGCACCGAGTATTAGGGTTTAGGGTTTAGGGATGGGGCCGCGAAATCACGCAGCACCTTGCTGCGAGCGATGTCGAGACAGAGACGGAAGGTGCATAGATCACTCACAGATCATTTACGGGGTCGTTGGTCTTGAAAGTAACCGCCTGATCCCAGCAGTCCTGACGCTGCCCCAGGTGGGGTTTGTACTTCCACGCGTTGTCTTGAACTTAAGGAATTCTGACAAGTTTCTTCTGGGTCCGTTCAATATTCCTCAGGAGTTTGTCAGGCATCGGACCTTTAGGCGCATGGCAGGGCAGGTCACAGAGAATGAGGGACCCTAAACAAGACCGTGAACCTTTCACCTTGGGAGTTACAGTTCGAAGCCATACGGTTGATGAAGCACGCCCCGCCCTTGGCTTAGGGCAACAAGGGCTTAAGAAATCCGTAGCCGAAGCTTGGGATGTTCCCGCCTATACTAACGGTCCTTCATAGGGACTCTAGTACCCCCTACTAGAATCCCTATTCAGAACTGTGAGTACAAGGTTAAACATCCCAAACCGAAGCCTTGAGCCAGCGATGGAACAGCAAACTGCCCATCGGGCAGGCTTTGGCGCCGCACCTCTGCAGCAGCCGCAGCTGAGTTGCTGGGAATGTAAGGACCCAGAGAGCCCAATACCCCTTGACTAAGGAGTATACCCTACATCATGTTAAGGGTCCCTGCATCGTTTAAGGCATTTTCCTTGTTTACGGGGTATTGGGCTCCTTGGGGACATGATAACCCAGCGGGACCCTGTTACCCTTCTTTTTGCTTCTACCAACCCCAAGAAATGGGCACCCCTGACTTGTCATAACATACTGGGCTGCTAAGATCCCCTAAACCCTAAACCCCAGACAGTTTTTTGCTCTCCACGCTCTCGCGCACGACCTCGCACGCTGCAGCGAAGCGCTTATGGGTTTAGGGCCCTAAACCCTAAACCCTTAACCCTTAACCCTAAACCCTAAACCGAAATCATCCTACCAAGAGGCAGCTTGAAAACCTCCGTTTTTTGCCACCCGCACCGCGCCAAGAGGCCGCCTCCTTCAGTACGAGCATGTCCGAACACAGCCCGCTCCAACGGTTTAGGGTTTAAGGTTTAGGGTGTAGGGTTTAGGGTTTAGGGTTGAAGGGTTGAAGGGTTGAAGGGTTCTTGGTAGCTGAGTGGTACCCTTTACCCTGTTTTGGTTCAAGGTTCCTTGTAACCAACCCAAAAAAGGGTACTCTCATTATTGGGCTACCAAGGGTTAGTTGCCCGCTGCTCGGAGCCAGCGCAAGTGCGCGCAAGGCACACAAAGAGACACATCACTCTGATTCCCGACCATATCGGAACATGCTTTTTGCTACAGCGTTTGGCTACCATTTGCGCTGATGTATGAACTGATGCATCATGACCCCTGGGAAGACTGGCAGCAGCAAGCTGTTTCGCTTGAAGGTTTCCTCCGGCTACATTCGATGTGGTGTTTATCGACGGCTTCTTGACGATGGAGTTGGAGTTCTAGGAACAGGTCACAGTTCCCTTGGGCTGAGGGCAGTATTAAACTAGAGGGCGCCAAGATCATCTCAATGCCCGCGCACTATAAAAAGCGGCTGCACTGAGCCTGCCAATTTGTGCAGAGAATCCTCTGAGCTGTCTGGCAATGTGGGACAAGGGAACCCTTAGACTGGCCCCTAAGCGCCTTTCGCAGAACGGACAGGGCTATACAGGGCTGTACGCGAACATCAGAACTTTTAGCGATCAAGTTGCTCTCTTAGCTCAGGTGATCACAGCCACGACGCTGTTGTGGAGGCCTTTCGCGGTCACACGGTTTAGGGTTTAGGGTTTAGGGTTTAGGGTTAGGGTTTAGGGTTTAGGGTTAGAAATTGTGTTTTTGCTCTTCATCGGGTCCTGTGGTGATCCTGTAGCGTAGTGTAGAACTTGCCGGTGCTTGCCGTGCACAAGTCTCAAGCTTTACAGCCGCACATCCTACATGGACCCTCACATACCCTCACAGCCCGAACCCAAACCGTACATAAGCCCTGTAAAGCATGGGAACCCGTAAGCCCTGTAAACCCCCCACAAGCCACCCCATCAACCCAAAAATCAAGTTCCACCCTAAACCCTAAACCCTAAACCCTGAACCCTGAACCCTGAACCCTGAAACCCTAAACCCTAAGCAGGACCTCCGGCTATGGCGCGGCCATGTGCGACCCGGCGGCTTGCTGGCAGGCCCAGCGTGGCCACGATTCCTAAACCCCCTAAACCTCCCCACTGGTTCAGGGGGTCTAGTCTAGGGGGTTCAGGGGGTTTAGGGGCGTTCAGGGGGTTTAGGGGGTTCAGAGGGTTGTTGAGAGGGTTTAGCGGGCTTAGGGCGTGAGTTCAGTGGGGGTGTTTAGGAGGTTTAGGGTTTAGGAGGTTTAGGGGTTTAGGATGAGAGGCCTGGGTGTAAAGGAGGTACATATAGGATTTCATATGGTCAGTTCTCAGAATGGTGGTCTCTGATTGGGTGCCTTAAATATTATGGGACCTCACATAGTAGTAACCCCAGAAAGGGGCCATCATCTAGAAAACGATGCAATGTGAGTATGTTCACATGAATTATCTCCAAGCCTTCAGAACGAGAGACCGCTCGCATCCGGCATGGACAGGCTCATTTCCCAACAAGCCCTAAACCCTACGAGTGGTGTGTGCAGTCTGGGTGGCAAAACATGAAAACCTAAGCCCTAAGCCCTTCCAAACCTTGACGCGAACTCCTAGGATCCAAGAATTCTCACTTTAGGGTTTACGGCTTAGTAGTTTAAAGACCGAAGAACTCGGGAGTTGTCGGTTCAGCCTCCGGTGCAGGGTTTTGTTTGCCGCCCAGGGTTCAACAACAAAAGTATAGACCCCAAAACCCTAGAACAGAAAAAATCCTGTACCCTAAACCCAAAACTAGGCTGGCTCCAAAGTGACGATGATGTATTTCTGTGAAGTTGCCTGTGGATGTAATTGCTGGGTCTGTGGGGGCCGGGGGAACTTGGGTCTTGCTTGCATTTTCTTTGTGCTCCCATGGGCCCACGTGACTGCATCTGCCTGGCCTGACTTAGTTGATTTAGTGCCTACACACGCCGACGAACCTTGCCTGCCTTGTGCGAGAGTGAGCGCTAAACCCTAAACCCTAACCCTAAACCCTAAACCCTAAACCCTAAACCCTAAACCCTAAACCCTAAACCCTAAACCCTAAACCCTAAACCCTAAACCTCCGAAAGGACATGATCTCTTCAACCTGGCCTTCGAGGGCGTTCTCGAGGCAGGAGAGGAGGGCTCAAACAGTTTGGGCCCAGGTGGCGAAGCTTCTTTCGAGGGTTTAGGCCTCAGGGTTTATAAGATTCAGGGATAAGGTTAGCTTTGAGGGATTAAGGACCCTAAGCCCTAAACCCTAAACCCTAAACCGCCTTTTTTGTTTTGTGGTTGAAAAGCTGGCAGCTGCTGCCGAGCCTTCAGTGAAGTGAAAGCCTTGTATGACCCTTCAGTCCCCGAGTCCGGTCACATGCTGGTGTGAAGGTTAACCCGGTAGGCCCTTGGGATATTTCATGTATTTCCCCTTCTTGGTTTCAAGAGGATTCTATTCATGAATATTTGTTCAGAGGGGGTTTTAGACAACCATCCTAGTTGATCAGCATTGCGACAGTTTACTGAGGCCCGTTGCCCGTTGCCCCCACTGTCTGAAAGTCTCGGTGGAAGTCTGCTGGCCAGCCCTGTGTCTAACCTCTGCAACTTCGACCTAAACCCTGCAAGCACCTCAAGTGGTATAGTGATACAATGATATACAAATATCGCAGAATCATATAATAGCTCCTAGTGCTGCTAATCCTAGTTCAGATCTTGGGAGGCTTTGGTGGAGAGCCTGGCAACGCGCGGAGCACCCGAGACGATCCACTTCGGCTTCGAAGCTGGGCTGCATTTTGCGGGGGCAAGGCTACCTGGAGAACCCAAAACTTACACTTTGTTGCATGTTACCTGAGAATCCTACAAGGGGTTTTGCAGCAAGAGCCTACAAGCAAGAATCAAGCAAGTAGGTTCGAGGTTCTTGGAAAAAAAGCCGAAATCCTGCACCCTGGCTTGTCCAAGAGCGACACTCGGCAGTCGAAACTTGAGACCAATGTCGCCACTGGAACGAAAGGCGATTTTTCTTTTTGGAGACGGCATTAGAAAATTTCTCCCCGAAGCCCGACATTGTACATAAAATCGAGGGGCCAGGCCCTTGAAAGTTCCTGCTGACCTGCCACACGAGCCGGAAAATCCCTCCTTGGAGGTTGATGGGTAGCTAGAAGCAGGGGTACAGGTACCCTAAATGGGTTATAAGTATATAGCTACCATGCTTTCTATCCCTACCTATAACGACCCAAAACATCCAAGGAAACCGTAGCCCTAAACGCCAATCAAGGACTTTGTTTGGTGGCTGCAGCTGTGAGAGGCAGGCAGTGCATTCTGGTGACCTATCCTCAAACACTCTTTGTATCATTGTCAAGACATGGTCTCCGTCCCATGAGCAGGTTCAACCATAAAGCCCATAACTCTACTCCCCTTGCATTCGTAGAGTCGTAGATTCCTAAGTCGAGCCCGTTTATGCCCTGTCCCGACTTGCGGCGGAAAAAGGAGGAAGCCCTGGTCATTGTGGAAGGGACACAGGTTTGTTGTCAAAAGTGTTTAAAAAAAGGGGTTAAGGATGCAAGCTTGACAGTTCGACTTGCAGTCTCCGACCCCTCTTGGGGCTTCATTTCGGCCCCCTGATAGGTGTTACATGGCCGTACGTGATGAAGGCATTGAACAGTAATTGGGCATCGTCATGTGTTGTAATTGTAAGCTGCGTGCCCGCCACGAGGGTTTTCGAACAGGGATGGCTGCGAGGGAAGCCGTGCGGCACTTGATCTAAATGGTTTTTAGGGCTCGCTCAGGCTGGGGGGTCACTCGATGCTAAGAGTCTTTCTTGCAATCAAACAGTTCTTCTGGGTCTACTAACTTGGGGTGGCCAGCCAGAAGATGGGTTAGGTGAAGTAACATGTCCCAGGGCATCCTCTGTGCAGCAAGGCTGATTTCTGAGAATTGAAGCCCCCACCCACAGCATGGGACATTTGGTCAACACTTGGGGCTCTTGCAAGCCGCAAGCGTTCGGAATCAGAAGAAACGAGCAGAGTCATCTACACAGCGTTTAGGGTCCTGGATGCAAAAGGGATGCTGGCAGGCACGACTTTTCATGTTCTTGTTTGTGCTGAGGTTCTGGCCACAGGACGGGGCTTTTCCCATCGGATTTCACTGCCATGTCTGTTGCACCCACAACGAACATCCCAGCGTCAAAATCGCATGTGCGAATCTACACTATCTACACCATGAAAATGCGGCTCAGGCAGTTCTTATGATACGGGTTGGGATGTTCCCCCTCATACTAGCAATCCTGAAATGGGATTGTATTAGGGGGTACTCTAATCCCTATTAAGGACTGTTAGTATACAGGGGGAACATCCCCCAAGATATGTTCCCCGTAGTACCATGCCGGCTTTGCAGGAGCTCCTGGGCACGCTTCAATGGCCTGCGACAGCTTCGCTCTGAGAGTCCTCGAATCTCCCCAGTGGCGTGGAACAGAGGGGCTCGGCTCTTGTTTCAAAACAATATGCCCATTATTTACCGAACGATGAGGTTATGTTTTGAATTAGTTTAAATTGTGTGTATAATTGTTGTAGATTATGACTCGTAGGATAGGAACGCTCTAAGTTGAAGCAGTTGGTGTCACAGGGTTGTGCCTAGATTAGACTTAGAGTCTAGAGTTACATGTTTGGCCATCATGTCCCATCCTAGTGATGTGGGGGTGGGTGGGTGGGTGGGTGGGATTGGGTACATCCGGTTAGATACAAGACGCAAAACACACACACACACACACACACACACCCTAAGGCAGGGTGGTGACAGTCAAACCAAAGCTGCAGGCCATCAGTCTGGGTGGATCTTTCGGTACTCTCTATGCTGTGTGTGTAGGACACCACTGTGCGTGCGTGAACCAGCACAAGCACTTTGTACCACTGGCATATGGAGATTCTTGGACACTAGGCTGTTGAAAACAGGGGCGGGGCATGGATTGCTGTACTCCCGCTCACAAAGACGCAGCTTTCCATGGTCATGCATCCAGGGACGCCTGGGTGTGCATTGATCTCCTCATCGGATACAACCCCCGCTGAGCAGTTGTTACCATCCTCGCTGTTGTTCAAACATTACCAATGAGAAGGAGCATTAAGCCAGCCTAGACCCCAAACAGAGAGAGACCCTGGGGACACGAAGGAGCGCGCCAGTGATCCAAGAGCACGTGCAAAAGACACCCACGAGTCTAGAGCAACGCCCAGGATGGTCCCGAACTCTTACTCGGAAGGTAGGAAATCTGAAGGTAGGAACTGCCCTGATGTGGCCACACTGATATCGGGAAATCAGAAAAATGACTTCAGGGGCAAGCCGAGGACAAGGAAAGCTGCCATAGATTCTTGATGTTTAGGGTTTAGGGTTTGGTATTTCAGGACAAGCAAAGTTAGGGGGGCTTCCCGAAATTAGGGGGCACCTTCTTGAGGTCCTTAATACTTCAAGGGCTTTGTCAGCTCCGTAAAGCTTTTACGGATGCCTTAAAAGATCTCGTCGAACGTGTATGGATGCCTCAAACGATCTCGTAGAACGTGTAAGGACGCCCCAAAAACCTCCTAAGAATTGTAAGGATGCCCTAGAAGACCCTGCAAATCATTCGACAATGCTATACAAGGCTCTAGCAGACCCCGCGATAATCATTATAATAATAATATAATGACAAGGGGGAAAAAGCCCAAGTTTCACATTAAATTCGTGCGTCTCTTCGTTCCCTACAACTTAATATGCAAAATACAAGAGCTTTTTACGACCGCTGTTAATGAGTCTTTCCTGGGCTGTTTTTGCACACGTTCATCACACCCTTGGATGCACAATATAAATACACTCTTATGATAGCATAATTTAAATGCATGACTTCGTGAATGATTCTCTTTGCTTTGTTGTTCATCCCTTATTCTCTTGTCCCGCGAAGAGAATTCACGTGCACCACCTGTTTCGTTCAATCGCTTATTTAATTTGTGCTTTCATTACAAGTGAATGTGCGATGTGAACACTATGAACACACTCTGGATACAATACAAAAAGCTACGGAATACTGCTCACACAACCCTATACTAGACAAAGAAGAATGTTCCAGTTGCAATAGGGACCCTTTTTGTGCATATAATGGCTGCAACGACGGCAACATACTTTACACAGTCCATGTATGTCAGCAAGATTCAACAAGTGTGCGTGTGAGCATGGTTCTTCTTTCGTATACTCACTTAAAACATCGTTCGTTCTCTACTACGTCATCAACAGGCGTTTCCTCTTCTACTCTTCTACTCCTACGTTCACTTCCTCAATGTCTTTGAACCCATCAACGGTCAAGATGGATTCTGCAGTCAGAGTGTGTGTGTGTGCGCGTGGTGTGTGTGTGTGTGTGTGTGTGTGTGTGTTTTTTCTTAATCCTGCACCCAGTCGTTGCTGCCGACCTTTCTTGTGTCATGTTCTTCTGTTTCTGATACGAAATGAGACGAAAGCACAACTTAGCTGATCAGACCTAGGGCGTGTAGGGCGGACGCCCAAGACAGAGGCCTTGTTTAGGGCGAACGGGAAAGTCGTGTCCTTTGTTAAGCATTACGAGGCCTCCTTCCGCCTAGGCAGGGGAGATTGCGAGATAGAGTCCTGTTCGGGCCGTTCGGGAAGAGGGAACACCCCGTAATTTTTTTCTTTGCCCCCCCTACCCCCACTCGCCCCAGTGCTAGCCGATGTAGGCCTAGAAGACCAGGCGAGGACGATGCAGAATCGTACAGTTAGCCCATGCAGCCCGAACAGCCTTCACGACAGTGCTCAAGCCTACCCACTGCCTGAGCCACATCGCGAAACCGCGGCGTCTGGGCTTGTGCGTGATGCACTGAGGTCGAGCAGATGCAGGCTTACAGCCAGCAGATCAAAGAGTCTGCAAGATGGGCTCGAAGCTGAGTTGGGTTTGGAGTCTGGGCCGCGAAGCCCTCTTGAGGGTTTGGGGGGGTTGTCTGGACATGTATGTAGATATGGATGTTTGTAAGTTTTTTGGGGGTTCATATGTACATATGTATCTACAGGGCGCGTAGTAGATGGCGCTTGAGGATGTTCAGGGCTTGGTAGCTGGTCATCCTCCCGAGTGGCCCGGCCATATGCTGGATTCTCGAAATTGAGGGCGCTTTTTGGTCACCCTTATATGACTAAGACCCTTACATGACGAAGGCTCTGTATTCGCATAATCTACGGAACCTCCATGAACCTCCCATATGGCTACTTCTTAGACAGCATGCATGGAACTTAAATCTTGAACATGGCGTGAGACTTGCATAAATGGCCCAGAGAGCTCAATAGCCCTTAATTAAGGAGTATACCTTAATAAGGATCCCTTTATCATTTAGGGTCTATTCCTTTTTTGAGGGGTACTGGGCTCTTTGGGTACAGGTCGCCCAGACTGCCGATGTGTCAGAGGAGCGGGCCTGCAACGCCCCTAGACGTGATGCGACGATGGGTAGCTATAAGTAGGGTTATATGTATGGTACTTGTACTTATGACCCACTTAGGGTGCTTATAACCCTACTTAGAACTACCCATGAACGTCCAAGTAGATGGGTTGCCTTCTTCTGGCCTACAAGCCATTCTGCAAGCATTTCGTGATTCCAGCATCTCCGTTCCTAGCATGGCAATCAACAGCTCTTGCGAATGCCCTCATGCATCATAGTTGCAATATCTGACAGTCCAAGCGTGGCGCATGTGCAAGATTGCCCCGTTTGACATTGCCTCCCCTAGCAGATGTAGCTACAAGCCAGGGTTTCCACAGAAGCGCCGGAACTGCATGTCTCGTTTCCATGTGGGGTCTCTTGCGCGCATACTTTTCTCCAGCCTTATCAGTCCGGGTATCGTGGTTGTGCCGAAGCTTGGCTTCGTCTTGTAACGTATGGCTTGTTAAGCTCATTACCTACTTGTAGTGTCTGCAGGGCCCAATTCACATCAGAGGCTGGGCCATTGGCGCCGTGATTTCCCGGTCTTTCGCTGCCGACGAGGTCTGTTTGTCCCTGCTCGGTTTTCACATCTCTGCGCAGTACAGACCCTTCCCGACTGCCAGATACCCCAAGTCGGGCATACTATAGAGGCTTGTTTTGCAACGACCTGAACTCTAATGACATGTTCTTCTTCGTGTCAGAGAAAGCACGCAAAGGTTTTGAGCCCAGCCGTCCCAGGCCAAATTGCGGAGTCCCTCAAACCGCAAAATATCATCATCCTGAATATAGGAACCACAAGACAGGCACGGTAGCCCTGTTTCTTTTGGACACCCACAAGCTCTCCCTCATTGCAATGGCAGGTGCGAGCCATGGTTCCCTTGGCAGCGGCTTGGTTTTGACCGGGTCTTTTGGGGTTTGGGTTTGGGGTCTGGGGAAACCTTGCACTTGGAGGTTTGTGGGTATGTTTGTAAGTATGGTAGTATTTCTTATCACCCCATTCAAGGTAAGAGGCAAGGAGGGGGGCCGGGAGGGGGGGGGGGGGGGGGGGGGGGGGGGGGGGGGGGGGGGGGGGGGGGGGGGGGGGGGGGGGGGGGGGGGGGGGGGGCGGCGGGGGAATAGGACCAATTGAAGCCAACGTTGTTTTGGAGTATATAGTGGGTTTCCTGCAGTTGCTTGGCGCAGAGAGGGTTTCTATGTTTGTTACTGAGAGATGTTCCAGAGAGGAGAGTGTTGGTGTATGGCTCATGTGATCCGCCCAGGACATCTTCAATCATAAGCCTCAGCGGCCGGCCGGTCCCTCAGGTCTCTTGAGATTTCCACAACTTGGGATGCAAAGTTGCCCTTTACAGGAGCCTTAATAGCCAATATCCTTCCCATGGATATAATCATCATCCCTTTTTCAGTCCGTATTAAAACCACCTATATCCGTTCAAGCTGAAACAACAGGCTCCTGAACTGCCTACCCGAGTTCCATGTTGGCCGAACACATAGCCAGCACGGAGAGCGAGCCCTAGGCAGAGGGTGGCTCGGATGCGCCATGGCCTAAGGAAGTCATCGCTGTAGGCAATCCCAATTTTTTATGGTTTAGGGTTTAGGGTTTAGGGTTTAGGGAACCCTAACCCCCCCCCCCCCACCCCAAGTTTCCCCGATCACGTCTGCCCAGTTGCCTTCAGGGGTCAAGCTTTGCTTTGACATCATGCTCATTTCAGCACGGTGTCAGTCACGGTGCCTCTGATCAGCGCAACCTAAATTCCGCAGCCAGAAAAGCTGACCCTGGGTCCAGGATTTAAAGTTCCTAAACCCTAAACCCTAAACCCTGAAGCAAAAAGGGTTCCCCCCCCCCCCCCCCCCCCCCCCCCCCCCCCCCCCCCACTCCCCCTCCCCCTCTGCGCGCTGTGTCCGGCGATGCAGCCGATGCCACCGTATGTTACACAGCCTGTCCGGGCCATCCGGGGTCGGAGAGGATGAACAAAAACAAATTAGGGTTTAGGGTTTAGGGTTGACTAGTCCCCAGCCCAGTTGTGAAAAAGGGTTTAGGGTAGTTTTCCAGTGTTTTCCAGTGTTTGCACAAAACGGGTTGTTTTGCTTATCAGTCCTGCTTTCTTGCGCAGATTTGCAGCAACTATTTGCAGCACCGTCGTCAGATGTCAGCGCCTTCGTGCTGCGAAACATGGTTGAGATGTCAGCCCAACCGTGGGCGGTGAATTCCACAAATCTCAAAACCCTAACCCCCAACCCTAAACCCTCAACATGCACTAAACCCTAAGCCCGAAACCCTAAACCCCTGAAACCCTGAACTTGCCCTTAACCCTAAACCCCAAACCCCTAAACCCCTAACCCCCTAAACCCCTATGGGCACCTCAGGGCGTGGCGCCTCTCTGAGGACGGCTCGCGCTTCGAGGCTTGGGCGGAGGGATAGTCTGGGGTTTAGGGTTTAGGGTTTAGGATTAGGGTTTATAGCCCTCTACCCCCTAATTTGAACACTCCCATGTTCGGGGAAAGCAGTGCTCACGTTGCGTCACCCTGCACGCTGTGCAAGTTCCATGTCAGCAAACACTTCAAAGCATCGTTTGATGGAGGGATTTCCTTCTTAGACTGTAAGGTATTTCCCAAAACAGGGGTACCCCGTTTGTTCCCCAAATCGAATAGAATCCCCTTAAAGGGAACCCCCCAAAAGTACCCCTATTTTCGGAAACCCCCGTATAGGTAGACTCCTTCAAAGTCATTATCTTCTGCATAGCCGGCCACGATGTGCACTGCTGGGAATCTTCTTCTTTTTGTTGCGGATTGTGGCCCAACGCCTTGGGACGAGGTGAGGGCCGTGGAGACTGCCAAGGTGGGTGAGGCGAGCATGGTAACCTTGTAGCGTGGGACTTCCTGCACTACGAGGTATTCAAGAGCACTGAAAGAAACACTAGAGACTCATGAACCCAACATTTGTTTACGCGACAGGAAGCTTGCACCGCAGGTTGAGATACAAGAGACCTAGCCGACTTGAGGCAGACTGGCGACCATGATTCGCCGTCATAGTTGCTGATCAGTTGCAGTTGTACTTAGACGCACCACTGCCCATGAGAGTCCGCCAAGACTTGAGTTTTGACCTTACTGGCCGATAGTGCTCAGAAAGTCAGGGCATTGGTGCACAGGCATCGGGGGCCTGACCATTTCACCAGCTTGTCGAGGAGATCCTCATCTCCTACGGTGAGGAGACTTCAGCGGGGGACTCGCAAGGTGTACGGAGATGAGATGTTGAACTTCAGTTGAGAGTGTGATCTCGACAGCAGCGCCTCATCAAGTCTGAACACCCCCCCCCCCCCCCTTGTTCCGGTAGGTGGAGCACCATGCTAGATGAAAGCTTGATGGTTGCAGGCAGCTTCGAGGTGCTGAGGCTTAAAGACTTTTGACGAGGCAGCTCTCTTTGTTGCTCTTGTCCTTTTAGGGCTGATTTCCACAAGAAGCTGAGCCTGCTGCGGAAGCATCACCACTGTTCGTGGGGTAGGTGTGGAGCAGGGGAGTTTGTCGCGTGGTCGAATCCGACCTGTGACCAATCAGACTGCACCTCCAGAAGCCCCACCTGACGACTGTGCAGAACTGTTCCTCCAGTTATGGATAGCCTGTGGCAGTCTTCACATGTGTTCATAGCTTATTGGGCGCTCACCAATCTGACTTGTCACACTGATGCAGGGACCTACTTTCAGCGGACCTACTTTCAGCCCCGAGCCCCTACAGCAACTGCCGATTGGTCATTGTTGGGCTGCATGATGCATGAACGTGGGCTCATATGCACACAAAAGCTCATTAGGCTGGCATGAACATGCATGAACCCCACTGAGTCTGCATTGCGTGAGATCGAAGTAGCACAATGCTCACGTGCAGCGTGACTGGCAGGTCATTAGTAGAAGGAACTTAGCCACAGCTTCTGAAGCATGATGGCAACACAAATGGCGACCGCCATACCCAAACGACGCGCTCGTTTGCTGAGCTGTTTGGTGCTCCTGCTACTTGGTGGGAGAGTAATCGCTTCCCCCTAATACTAAACCCCCCCTAATTTTAAAAATTGTTTTTCCCGGACCCTGCCGGCACCCAGCCCAATACTAAACCTATTTGAGAATTAGGGGGGAGGGGTTCAGGGCCTTCGCCCTTGAGTTGAGCCACTAGGGTTTCAGGGTTTAGGGCTGAAGGCTGACAGGATTAGGATTCAGGGCTCAGGGCTGAGAGGGTTTAATTAGAATTTAAACCTTAAAGCTAGACCCTAATGAACCCTGAACCCCAAGCCCCAAACCCTATAATTACTCCCCCTGTGTCCGATTTAGACCCCCCCCCCCCTAATTATAAATATTTTTCGGGCCCAGGCGAATTTCAGAATTGGGGGGGGGGGGGGGGGGGGGGGGGGGGCGAGGGATTTAGTAATAGGGGGAAAGGATGAAGCAGATGCGGAGTAGTTGCTCAACCTCGAATGACGGTGCTAATTCTGCGTCATGTCATGATGTTCAGGCGACAGAGAGACCCCTACACCAGCTCTGCAGCAGCCCCCTTACCCTGAGCAGCCCCTTTCATAAGCTAAACCCTAAACCCTAAACCCTACTAACCTTGCTAAACCTACTAACCCTACTAACGCTAAACCCTAAACCCTAAACCCTAAACCCTAAACAGACATCTGCAAGCCCAAGGCTCAGCATGCCTTTGCTTCAGAGCCCTGGTCATGCCAACGTCATGGCCAGCCAAGCCGCGGGCAACGAAGCAGTTCCATGACTTGGGTTGAGGTGTTTGCATAGGGTTTACGTAGGGCAGGGTTTAGGTGAGGCATACGGTGTTTACATAGGGTTTACGTAGGGTAGGGTTTAGGTGAGGCATACGGGAGAATGCCTCTCCATGTACACAGGAGCTTGAACAGCGAGCTTCAACGAGCTTCAGCGTTCGGGGGCATGCAGTGATTGATTTGCACGACGTGCAAGTTGAGTTTGTGTTTGAGGCCGTGGTTCAGCGAAGAGGCCTAAGCCACTCAGCAACCTAGGAGCGTGAGCTCATGTCATGTTGGACAGCCCTCCTTCACACACAAAAGTGATGGGCTGTGAATCTTGAATCTCGGATAGCTCGATCTTTGGGTATGGCAATGCAATTTTAGGTCATTAGGGTTTAGGGCTTAGGGCTTATACCGTTTAGGGTTTAGGGTTTAGGGTTCGGGCTTCAGCTCCCCGAGTCAAAAAGGGTTTAGGCAACACGCGCATGTTGGTTTAGCCCCCTGGTTCACAAGTCTACCGATGGGTCAGGTGCTTGCTGGCGCCATGCCGAAAGTGTTCGCGGCAACAAGGCACCCTTAACGAATCCCAAAAAGGGTTCAGGGTTTAGGGTGTAGGGCTCCCTACCCTGAGCCCAATACCCTTGAATTCACGAATATACCTCAAATCATATTTTCAGGATCCCGATATCATTGAAGGCATATATTCCTTACTCAAGGGGTATTGGGCTCTCTGGTAGTAGGCCTCTTGGGACATTTTAGATTTCCCTTGTTGGGTTTGCGAGGATCATCTTCAGGGATATGTTCAGAAGGTTTTTAGGGGCCATCCTAGGGTCCCTATTGTTTAGGGTTTAGGCTTCAGGGGTTCGGGTCGCTATTGTTGTTGCGGAAGTGCCTCTGGCGGAGAGCGTTGACGTTGCCATCGAGACCAAAATTATTTATTGAAAAAGATCGGTCCTCAGCACAGGGTTTGTCCGGAACCTATATCCTACAAACGTCTGGGAATGCAGGTTGGCCTTCGTGGTTTTAGGGCGAGTTGCCGTGAGAAGCCACTGGTTGGGTTGTGCTATGTTGTGCTCCAAGCCCAGGTCTTCGTGAGAAACGCCTGAGTTTGCAGCAACTGCGAACGCCCGGCTTAAGAGACACCATCGACACTTCAACTTTCATGATGTTGCATGCCCAACAATATGTATTGAATCGCCAAAAACCCTACAGTAAGTCCTCCGAAGCTACGCAGTCCCGATGGAAGGTATTGGAACGCTGCGCACCCACAACCACCAGGCGCTGGCGTCGTTCATATATCAACAACGGAATCGCCACCCTGTGCCCAAAAGGTTTATAAGTACCCTAAATGGAATTATAAGTATAGTTACCATGCTTATAACTCTACTTATAACTACCCATGAACATCCAAGTAGGGGTAGATACAGTTCGGATCCCTTTTGCGCTGCACTGAGGGCAGACATGTAGGCAAACCCCTGCCTTGTCTCCAAAGGACACAATGCCCAGCATCCAGACTTCAGTGGAGTTTGGCAGCTGGTGCCTCGCCTTGGTTCATATAGGCAAGCATGCCGGTGTGCTTCTTCTTGACCCTCACGGTTGCCATGCTGAAAGCTAGAAATCTGCGTAAGTCTGCCGAGGATTATTAAGCAGGCAGATGTTTGCACAGAGCCAACCTATGGTCAAACTCGCGTCGTCGCGTGCCCTCCTTTCCATTCTGCTTCTGAGCGCAGCGCTCGCAGCGGACCATGCTTCTTTTCTCGAAGCCTGCTTGCATTCTGGACGCACGTCGCGCTCTCGCCGGGGCGCGAGCGTCCCCCTAAACCCTAAACCCTAAACCCTAAACCCTAAACCCTAAACCCTAAACCCTAAACCCTAAATGCGTGACACTCATCGTTTTTGGACTTCTGGGCCTGCATGGTCTCTGGCAGTCTGGGGCCTCTGCGGACAAACAGTTGTTACTACTGGGAGGTTGGGGGAGCAAGTCCAGGAGCGCAGTGAGAACCTCAGCGGCTTCATGCAGGCCGGAGCTGGGCCGCTCCAGGTTTGGTGAGAATGGATATTTGCTGGCACAACGTCTGTTTAGGAGAAGTAGGAGCAACATTGCCCAGTTCCTCTCATCTTGGGCACAAGATGAAATACTGTCAGCCAGAGCGGCATATCAAAGCAGCCGAAGCTAGGCAGTATCGCTATTTGGGAATGCATGGCAGAAACGTCGTGGCACCAAAGCGAGATCTTAGCTTGACGAGCCCAAATTCGGAGGCTCCCCTCTGTTTTTTGTCACAGGCTATCGGCTACAACGTTCTCCTGGCCAAGGCCCTTGCAGACTGCATCTTAAGGGAGTGCCCTTTCCTGGGCGATGCTAGGGTTCAGTATCGTTTCAAAAGGCGAAGTGTGAAAGCAAGAAATCAAGAACTGCGATTTTTGGAACATCGTGCTGCTCAGACTGACTGCAGAAGGCAGAGCAGTCACATCCAGAGGGTACCCTCCAGCGCACAAGACAAGAGCAGCTTTCGTAGCTGCGCATGCTCTCGCCCTGAAGCTAAGTTCCCTACAGTCACCCTAAACCTCTAAACCCCCAAACCTGATCCGAGTTCTTGGGTACACTGACTACGGATGTATCGGATGTAATGCATCCTGCAGTGGTTGCGAGGCTAGGCAGGTGGCCCAAAAAACGCTCTCAAGCGCTCAGCCGCTTCGAGGCCGCCGGTCTCGCCCGCGTCAAGCAGACCATCGAGCAGAAGGTGACGGAGCTGCACTTCGTCTTCGAGGCAGAGACCTTTAGGGTTTAGGGTTTAGGGGTTAGGGTGTAGGGTGTAGGGTTTAGGGTTTAGGGTTTAGGGTTCATTGCAGTGCAAGACTTCTACAGTGGCGTTTTGGGTTCAGGGTTTGGGGTTTAGGTTTCAGCGAGGCGGGCGAAGTCCCTGGGAAAAGGGTTGGAGCTTTAGGGTTTGATTAAACTCAGGGAGGGAACAAGGATTGTGAAAGGCACGCTGGGAGCCCAAGCCCGAGTACCCTAGGCTTCCCATTTTGGACCCTGCAAGCGCCCCGGCAAGCGGGTAAGCTCGAACCCCGCGAAAGAGGTCAACCCTCCTTTGCTGTCACCTCGCCGGGAGTTCGTGGTGCCGATCGGCGCCCCCGAGGCGACCTGGCTGGTGCTGAGGGGAGACTTCTGGGTATCTTTGGGTTTGAAGGGGTTGGGGTTGGGGGGATTCAGGGTTTATGACATACTATGTACTTACACTTCGGGAAAGAAGCGAGGAACCGACCCCATGGGTTCTTGGACGTCAAGAGAACAGGAGACATGAGGTCATGGCGGGCAAAAGTATCTCGTAATTTTCAGAACGTGAGCCCTTTGTACTCACGGGAAAGAAGTGAAGCCTGAGCCTCACAACCGGCGCTTCCATAGGAGTTTACGAAAATAAGGGACCCCGAATATAGACCCCCAAATGGTAGAATAAGGGGGTACCTTATTGGGTCCTTATTATAAGGGAATCCTACATTGGCCCCGAACTCAGCATAAGATCCCAGGTCCTGATGAGCGACGATGCTGGTCGGGACATGCTTCTGCTGCGCCTTGGCTGATGCCAGCTTAGGGTGGGGTTTAGGGTTTAGGATTTAAGGTTTAGGGTTTCGGGTTTCGGGTTTAGGCAAAAGGGTGCTGCGTCGGAACCTTATTCACTCAAACGTCAGCATCCTCAGGAATCCCGTGTGGCAGGGTGACATCTTCAGCGCCGGCCTACGTGGCGTGGCTGGTGAAGAGAGGGTCTTCCTGGTCCAGGGCCATCCGGGTAGAAGTTTGGGCTTTTTGACGTTAAAAAGCCATAAATGGGTAGAAGTCAGGTGGGTTTCTTTTGATCCTTTTTGAGTGCTGGGTTCCTTTTCTCGCCTAGCCCGTAGAACAGAAAGGAGAGAGAGAGCGAGAGAGAGAGTATCCTGGCGCGACAACATGGTTACTGCAAACCTGGATGGACGTTTTAAGTTCAGCCATAAACCTGGGCATATCTGTGGGAAGTATTGCCCAGACTTCTTGAGCGATGCTTCCAGCCAAGGGATGTTTTACGTTCGGTTTCAGGGTGTATTAGAATGCCTCGGGCCTTTGACTCAGACACAGGTGGGTGATTCCCAAAATGGGGTGCCAATATACCCCCCATCCAACACAAAAAAATGCTTGGATCATTATGACAGTGAAGCCCTAAACCCTAAACCATTAGACAACGGACTTCCGGCGGGTCTGAAGTCTCTTAGTTTCCGTTGCCCCATGTACCCAGAGGGGTTTGAGCTAGGGCCTATAGGGTATGCGTGATTTCTTAACTTGTTTCTTCAGAGAGTATGCTATACCACTAGGCCAAATCATGCTGGCATGATCCTTCTAATCGTATTTTGTGCCCTGCTTTGGCTAGAGAGACCATGCGCATTGGATTCCCCCGCGGCCTGGCCGCCGGCCACCGGGCGGAAATCCAGTTCGGAGGTTTCAGGCCCCGAAGGACCCAAAAAGTGGATTCCCGAAACCCTGAACCTTGCAACCTGGCCGGACCGTTTTTCTTCGTATTTGGACATGGAGCGGGCCTAGAGGAGGTTTGTAGCATGATTTTAGGAGATTGGCCCCAAAACACTAGGGCCCCTCTTAGTTTCATTGCTAAAAGGTAACCGCAAATCGCCCAAAATCCCTGGATCTAGAGGCTCAGTTTCTTACACACTGGTTTCTTATACAGTGGTTCACTGTATACAAACCTCCGAAATGGAATTTCATTGTTGGAAAACCTCACTTCTCTTGTGGTTTCGGGTTGTTTGGGTTGCCCCTTCAGCCCCTTCAAAGATGGGATGCGGATCAAAAAAATTTTTAGGATCAAGAAAAAATATTTAGGATCAAGAAAAAATTTATTTAGGATCAAAAAATAATTTATTCTGTTCTTCCGACGGAGAAAGAGAAAATGGGATGGAGGGAGGGAGAAAAGGAGGGAGGGAGGGAAGGAAGGGCGGAAGGACGGAAGGACAGGAGGGACAGGAAGGAAGGAAGGAAGGAAGGAAGCAAGGAAGCAAGGAAGCAAGGAAGCAAGGAAGCAAGGAAGCAAGGAAGCAAGGAAGCAAGGAAGCAAGGAAGCAGGGAAGGAAGGAAAGGAAAGGAAAGGAAAAGGAAAAGGAAAAGGAAAAGGAAAAGGAAAAGGAAAAGGAAAAGGAAAAGGAAAAGGAAAAGGAAAAGGAAAAGGAAAAGGAAAAGGAAAAGGAAAAGGAAGGCCGGAATCAAGAAAGACAGAAAAAGGCAATTTCACAAAAGAAAGAAAGCAAGGAAGACGTCGTGCCAGCTTGCTTCAAAGCATACGTATTCTGGCCTTTGGTTGCTTGGTGCTGTGCTCCTAAGGTCCTCTGGTCACGTGGTCCTCTGGTCCTCCGGTCCTCCGGTCCCGTGGTTTCCCGGTCCCGTGGTCAGAGTTTGTTTTTATTTATTGCTTTTTGGTCATAATGGTATATTTAGTTCTGTAGGAAAACATAACATAACATATGATATATGTATGTGTATATATTAAAACAAAGTACAATGATATTATATAGTGGAATAGAGTATCATAGAACACAATATCGTATAGTATACCTTTGTATGATAAAAAAAAACATCAAAAATCGTAGTAAGAAAGCGTATATGTATATATATATATAATGCTATTTGTATATATAAACTTCATAATACACAATACATATTTATTGTTTGTTTGGCGCCGGGCAAGCTTGTTCAACGCGTATGAATCCCTTCCAAACCCATGATGCGAGCATTGTGTTTGCAAATGGGGGGGGTCTGCGCCCCCCCCCCCCCCCTCAAACCCCCCGCTGCTTTTTTAAGCCAGCGTATGAATATCCTTTCCAAACCAATGATGCGAGCGTTGTGTTTGCAAATGGGGGGGGCTGCGCCCCCCCCAACCCCCCCGCTGTTTTCTTAGTCCGGGCAAGCTTGCTTCAAAGCACATGAATCCTTCCAATCCCATGATGCGAGCACTTTTTTGCATAATATAATAATACACAAAAATACAACACTTTTCAAGTATATACAAGAATATGCAGCAATATACACGTAAAACAAGAATAACTTCAGTAATTGACAATAGTATTCAATAATCGACAACAATATACAATAATATTCAAAAATGTAGAAGAATACACAACAATATATACAATAATTTTCGAAAATATACAAACATATACAGTAATATAGAAAAACACAACACTCAATGACATGCAATAATGTAACATAGTATACAATAATATACAATAATAGACAATAATATACAATGACATACAATAATATACTATAATATAGAATAATCTGCAGTAACATACAAAGAAAACTCAATAATATACAATAATGTACAGTAATCTACAAAAAAGAGAATAATACACAATAATTTTGAAAATATACAATAACATTCAATAATATGCAACAATATAAAGTATTATACAAAAATACAAGAAAATACACGACAATACAATAATACTCAACAAGATGTACAACAATATACAATAATATGCAAGAATATACAATGTCATACAATACTATACAAGAATATACAATACTATGCCATAATATACATGCTTCAGAGTGTACGCATTTTTTGGAAACTTCTAATGCCAAGATGCCAGCATTGATTTGCAGCCTCTGCAAACTCAGAAATGCTGCTATTTACAGTATTTCCAGCCTTTGAAATCGCAGAAATGCTGTTATTTTCAGTATTTGCAGCCTCTGGAAACTCAGAAATGCTGCAGTGTACAGTATTTCCAGCTTCTGAAAGCGCAGAAGTGCTGCTATATATACTGCTATATACAATATCGGCAGCCTCTCTGGGAACTCAGAAATGCTGCTATTTTCAGTAGTTCCTGCATAAATGCTGTGTTTTTCCGGTATTTAGAGCTTGCGAACGGCCAGAACTGCTGCATTTCTGAGCGTTTACGGCCTCCGCTTCGCTTGCAAGAAGCCTTCGAAGCCTTCAGTAAATTATTTTTTGATCCCAAATAAGTTTTTTTTTTGATCCGCCTAGAAATAAATTATTTTTTGATCCCAAATAAATTTTTTTTGATCCCCTACCCTTCAAAGATGGGTAGGCCCTTGTTAATATTTTCCCTGATTTCAGGAACCTCCTCAGGAACATTTTTCAGATAGTTTATATATAGGGGCCAGCCTGGAAACCTTTGTTACTTGCGCAGTGGTGCGATAAAAATGGATGGACTATCAAGCCGAAACTCCCTTGGCCCAGGATACGTGAACCCCAAGCACGACCTGACGATTGATCGCTACATGGAGGACCCTTATTCAGCGCTCAGGGCTTTGCGGTTTATGTTTACGGTTCAGGGTGTATAGGGGTTTAGGGTTTAGGCTTAGGGTTAGGAAACCCTAAACCCTAAACCCTTTGGAAGTCTGCTGCTGGTGGTAACGGTGCTCTGGACAGGCCCTGCCCTTCTTGGCCCACCATACTTACGTAGCCAATCGTTGAACTTTACACTTTCTGGGTTTTTTTTTCTTATTTAGTAGGAATTGTATAGTTTAACCTTTGTTTATAAAGTAAGAATAGGACCGACGTGTACTTTGAGGTTCAGCAAAGCTCACATAACAAGATCGTTCTCAGAATCGTGCCGACTGCGTTTTGTAGTTTACATCTGTCAAGAAGCAGGACATCTTATCACCAGCACTTGGGTTCGATATGGCTGTTAATTATTACTGGGGGGGGTTTGCCAGCAAGAAAGAAGCCTCTTTGATCTTAATGCCCTGCAGACTTGTCCCGAATTACATCCCAATTTAAACCATCCCAGGATGGGAGAATGGTGGAGCACGTGCGCTACCCCGAGCGGGGGATTGAGATGCGCCGGATCTTTCGCAAGGGCTGCTAGCAGCCAGCGCTTGACAACAGATTCATTTACAGCAATCGGCCGATTCATTTACAGCAATCGGAAGTTCGAGGAGGTGGAATTAAAAGCATGTCATGCTAATCCTCAGCTCCAAGGCCTCAAGCCTGTTCCTCGGACTTACATGTTCATACCAAGCCGTGTCCCGCCTCCGAGCCAGCCTGTGCGCCAAAAACCTGGAAGCAAGACGGTGTCCACCAACCAGAAAGCGACTTGCAGGGCTCTGCATTGGGATGCTGCTGCGGGGACGGGGGTGGCAAGGCAAATTTTTCAAAGTCGCGCGTGAGAGGGCGAAGGCGCCTCTCGTGTCAGTATCTTTGCCAATCTTCGTCTGGGTTGCCATGGCCCAAGTACCGAACACATTCGGACTGGGCCTCATACGCTGAAAGCTGCTGCAAGGGCAAGCGCGTGTGGGCAACAAAGCCGAGAGGCACAAATTCATTCGCATGCTTCAAGAAGGCTTGGACTGACTTGAGCAGAAGACCATCTGCGCTAAACTTTATAAACCCTAAACCCTACAATTGGAGTCAGACCACGCAGGCTGCTCACTCTGACCGGCCTACGGTGCACAGGGGCCACGTATGTCTTCGCCTGCCTGCTTCGAGCGGCAGTTGGGGTGCGCGGCTTGCCCTGTCACCATTTTCAACGCCCCGGAGCCCGAGCCAGCACCACTCGACTAGTGAGTTGGCCCTCAACTACTTGGAGGTTCATAGTTCTATGTAGGGCGATAGGTATGGTAATTTGACTTAATAGCCCCCAATTAGGGTAGTAACCTAATCATAGCTACCCATGAACCTCCAAGTAGCGTCCTTAATTACGTAAGCCCCATCCTAGTGCCTCGCACTTCCTACTGACCTCGGCGGTCTCGAGAGGCCTTCCACTGAGGTTTAAGATTTAGGGTTTAGGGGTTTAGGGTTTAGGGTTTAGGGTTTAGGGTTTAGGGTTCTCATACAGGTTGAGTCATAGACGAGGTGGCCTCAGATCATAAGAAACTCATGAAATAGGTAACATCCTCAGCCCACATCTGCCGGGATCCTTTAAGCAGCAGGGGACTTGCATACGATTCTGCGTGATGAGTCCCATCCTTTTCATTCTTCTGCGGCTGGGCTCCTTTTGTTCATAGCGTGCAAACTCAGACAAGCGGCATGGAGCAGTCTAGCATCGGATTTGAGCAAGATGTGGAGAGCCGACAGTGCAGTATCCAACTTGGCTACTGCTCTGCTAGTTAATATGCTTTTTGTAAACTTTTGTAAACTGTAGCAAGACATGGCTCTGTTGGCATAAAGATATGGGAAAGGTCAAGTCACATCTCTTCAGTAGCAGGCAAGGGCTGGGTACGGGTTTAGGGTCTAGGGTTTAGGGTTTCGGGTTTAGTATAAAGTACATCACTATGCCACCTTGCGTCGTGCATGGCAGCTTGTACCACAAGCTGCAAGCTCCGTGTTCTGAGATTTGCAAGACTTCGTGTGCCATGCCCAAACTTGAGACAGGGTGCTTCGAGATTGTTTCAACAGTTCTTTTTCAGGATCGACTTCTTCGCCCCTTCCTGTCAAGAGCTTTCTCGATCGACATGTTTGCATGGCATTGCGGCAGCGCTGGAAGGGGTGGATTTGCGGTCCTCCCATCTCCATCTTCCTGAGATGCATGCCCGGTTTTTCACGCCGCAGCTGACACAAGGAACAAGCTGGAGGAGCCGAACCCTAAACCAAAGTGCAAAAGACCTCCTGCGTAGTCCACGTGTGTGTGTGTGATCTTCAGAAGCCCCATAAGGCGCAAGAGTGGCAAAGAGTGTGCCTGCGGGTACGAGGGCATCCATGCCATAAAGACCTGGCTTGGAAAGGCTGGGCCGGTGTTAGCTCTACACCTCAGCGCTTCATGACTAGGCCCATACTCCCCTGCAAGCCGTTGCTACGCACAGACCCTGGTATTCATGGGTGGTTGTCAAAATCATGGTCCCTTTTTGGATCCCTATTATAATACGGCACCTAATATTTAGGGTACCCCAAAAGGGATCATAATTTTGACAACCACCCTCAGGGAGATCAAGCCCAAGCGTCTTCAAGCTATTGTTCGAGCCGGCTGGAGGCTAGAGCCACACCGTGGCGAAATCATTCAGTGTGTGTCGCATGTGCTTCAACCTCACGGCCTAGACAGCTGGAACACGCAGTCTCTTCCTCCTCTTGCTTGGTAAGGCTCCCAGGGCACCAGAAGTACGTAAACCTGGCTTCGGCAACCCTAAAGCCTGCACCTTATAAACCCTAAACCCTAAACCCTAAACTCTAAACCCTAAACCCTAAACCCTAAACCCTAAACCCTAAACCCTAAACCCTAAACCCTAAACCCTAAACCCTACCTTGATTGTGGCTAGACGGGTGGCGCGACAAAAAACCTAGCTTGGCTCCTTCTGCACTTGTTCCCTTTGTGCAGCTCTGAGCTCGCCACTGGCCAGGACAGGCCTTGCTTTGCCTGTGCCCATAGCTCCTGATGTCTGCAACTGCGGGCGTTTTGTTTTAAGCGGTTTACTAAGCTGGATTCTGGCGAGATGCTGCGGCAGACAGGGAGCTACGTGCCAAGTCTTTTTAAAATTCTTCCATGTGGTCCGGGCATCATAGCCTCCCGCCATGGATCACGGTGAAAAGCTATGCATCCACTTGCGCACACGCTCCTCATGTCTCGCAGGCATGTGTCCTTGCGTATCGCACGCACGCATGCGCGCACGCACAGAGAGAGAGAGAGAGAGAGAGAGACACGTACAGACAGAGGGCATGCGCTTGCGCACGCGCGCACACACCCATGCACGCACGCATGCACGCAGACGCAGACGCAGACGCAGACTCTGACACACACACACACACACACACAACACGCACACAAAGACACCCACGCACACACACACACACACACACAGGCACACAGGCACTCAGGCACTCACTCACTCACTCAATCACGAGCGCGCACACGCACACATGCACGCACGCACACGCGCACACACGAGCGTGAGCACAAGCACAAGCACAAGCACAACCGTCGCACACACACTCACCCACTCACTCATTTCTCAGACCACAGATGTTTCGGACCAATGGTTTTTAACCGCTTTGCCCGACATGGGTTTCGCCGACAGTAGTGATAGATTATAGAGGGAAGAGCGAGAGATCCTTTTGCAGCATGAGACCAGTGATGCGTTTGAATCACACGTGCAGTGCTGCCGCCCATTAGTGTTTAAATTTGTACAAATTGCATTATATATTAGTACATATTAGTACAGATTAGTATATATTAGTATATATTAGTATATATTAGTATATATTGGTATATATTAGTATATATTAGTAAATATCAGTATATATATATATATATTAGTATATATTAGTATATATTAGTATATATTAGTATACCAACTACGGTTCGTTGGATTTGCTTCATTGCGATCATGCAGCATGAAGGTTTCTTCTCTGCTCCCTACTCCAGGAACGGCCTGTTGCCTCTTGATTCGCTTGAAGAGGGGCCTTATTCGTGTCTAGTTGTGAACTGTTGTAGCCGTGTCCGTGCCTCGTGCGGCGACTCAGCAGCCGACAGCCCAGATCTCCTGCCGCTTTCGAGCGACTGACTGCTGCGCCACGCGTGTTTTGCCAGGAACAACGGTCATTGCGTGATTGCGTGGATCTGCATATGCGCGTGTCGTTCTTTTGGCTTTTTGTCCTGTGACCATTGCCCACATGATTCAGCAGCAGCAGCATTTTTGTGTTGAGTGTACTTGCATTCCATGCCTACGATCTTGCCTACGGAACTCCCCGCGGTCACTGAGGCAGAGATCCTTGCAGTTCATGGCATAGTCTTGCCAGACAACCAGGCCATGCTTGCCACGGGTCGCTGGGGTAGCGAATTGCCGTGCCAAAATTTGTAATCATTCACATGGCTGGTCCGAGGGTCGGGCTCAAAGTGGTTGTTGGCGGTACTTCGAGGGCTTTGTTGAGCGCAAGAATGTCGAGAAGTGAGCACTACTGCAAACTTTGTTTCTGGTGGCCTTCTGTGGCAGAGCATGGGGGCGATCAAGGAGTAGTCAGCGTCGCGCACCTTGCCCTCCGCGCACAGATCCTTTTCAGCGGACATGTCTGCAGGCCTTTTGCTACCTGAGGCCTTATGATATTCGAGTGCTTAACACCCCCCTCCCCTGCCTCCCATTCCCTCCAACAGTCGGCTCTGTGGCAGACGATTGGGTACGCGTGATAAGAATAATCACAACGCTCAGAATGATCATAGCAACAATAATCGAAATCTCAAACCATAAGAAAAGCCCGGCCGCAAGACTCAGAGTGACACTCACAACCATCATGGTGACAATGGCGGCTTGAGCTTGGAGGCTGAGTACCTCGAGATCTTCGAGTCGCCAGACGACCTCCTGGTCGAGACCTCATGCGTAAGGGCAGCCGCGGCAGGACGCGACTCCATATCTTGAGTTAGTTCGAGACTATCTGCCTATTGCGTGGCTGTGTTGTTATGTTATTGTATTACTATGTGCTAATTAGTATCGATATCATTGCAGTATTCTATCGTTCTGTTCTTACGTGAGTATATCATCGTAGAAGAGCTTCAGCATGGTAGAGACGTAGGTTCACAGAGGACTGGCCAGGCATGGGTTCTTGGGTCAAGTTGTGGGGGTTTAGTGCCCAAATTTGCAAGAAGCTCTGGTTCTCAAGGCTTCAGTTACAACGAAGTCGAAAGTTGGGTTTCGGCTTTGGGTTAGGGTTTATGGGGTGAAAGTAGGCCACTTCAAGAAGTTCTGGCAGCTGGTGGAACAAGTTTGTCAGTACGTCGTGGCGAATGGTCAGAGTAGTCGCCGTAAAGGCTTTAAGTAAGTGACGTCACTCCTTGGACGATTGGGGTTGCTGTAACGGAATATGGCTGAGCAAGAAGAACAATCTCACGATCAGCCCTTGCTTTGTCTGCATTCTTGCCGTTGCTCCTTTCCCTTGCAGGCGTGAGTGTATTCTTTCGGGAGCTGGGCGGGAGAGGGCCGGAGAGGGGGGTGTTAGGCACAGATTCTCGCGCAGAGGGTATTTAAGTCCCACTCGGCGGGTTTCTGCAGGGTGGGGCTGTTCACAGTTCAGGTGTTGCGGTGTCACCTCCGCCCAGCCCCGAAGCAACCCTAAACCGTAAACCCTAAAAGCCTAAGCCCTAAACAGAACCTTTGGCCGCAGAGGTTGCTGTGGAGACGCTGTTGGAGTGCCCTGGGCGACGCAAGCAGCGCCAGTTCGAGTTTGAGGCCCCCGCGGAAAGACATAAAATCGTGAGTTCTATTTTGGGGCTTAGGATTTGGGGTTTGGGGTTTAGGGTTTAGGGTTCTATAGCTCGGTGTTCTCTAACGGGTCTGTCGCCCACAACTGGCCACGCTCGAAACCAGTTCGTTCTTTGCTTTTTGTTGGCAGGAGAGGGACAGGAACTAAATGAAGAGTAACAGCAGCAAAAACAGCAACAACAACAAACAAACAACAACAAACGACAAACGACAAACGACAAACGACAAACGACAAACGACAAACGACAAACGACAAACGACAAACAACAAGAAGAATAAACATAACACCAACAACGAGAACAAAACGGAAAGGAGAAGTCATAAAACAACAGAGAAGCCACATGAAACAAGCAGCAGCTAACACAAGCACCATGTTTTCACAGCGGGGGTGCTTTTGCACGCGCACGCGCATACCGGTGCCGAACCCGGTTCCCCCCCACCCCCCCGCCGATAGTCTGCTATTGCGCGCCCCAAACTGTTCATGCGTGTGGCACCTAAGCCCTAAACCCTGAAACCCTGAAGCCCTAAACCCTACTCGTATCACCAGACTGGCCGTGGCCATATGTGCTATGGAGCCACCAGCAAGACTCATGAACCGTGTTTGCCTCGCCTGGCTTGTCCGAGTGTGAGCGATTAAACCCTAAAACCCTAAAACCCTAAACCCTAAAACCCTAAAACCCTAAACCCCTCCTAAAAGCGCTTTGGATCTGCTGCGGACCGCTTCGGGGACCCTGAGGATCTTTGAGGACATCACATTCCCCAACAACCTTCGAGGCAGTCGAAGGCTGCGGCGAAGCACGGTAATACTTAGGGTTTAGGGTTTAGGGCTTAGGGCTTAGGGCTTAGGGTTCAACACTTTCACCCACTGAAACCTTCTTGCGGCGCCCCTCATCACTCTCAATGACAATGATTACACAGCGGAGGCCCTCCTGTGCAATGATTTCTAACCCCGTTGTGTTCAAAACATTAATACAGCTCAACAGAAACAACTCCGCCACGGAGAAGTCCTCACAAGCCCTACACTACAGACCTTCGGCGCCAAATCCCTAGAAGAAAAACGAGAAGGACAACGACTGAGATCGGCGCTTAAAGCGGTCCTAAAAAGGTGCCTAGAGAGCCCGAAGCCCCTTAAGTAAGGAAGACACCTTACGAAATGTTCGAGGGATCCTCAATATGATTTGAGGTAACGGTATACATATATATATATATACATATATATATGTATATATATATATATGTTCCTGAATAAAGGGTATTGTGCTCTCTCTGGGTGCCAGACACTGGATGCCGGGGCGGCGCCGCTGGCGCTGCGCCCAGGAGGCCCCGAGGCTTGCGAGCACTTGCTGGGATGCGTGGAGGCGCCGAGCAAGGGAGGAAAGGGGGATTTAGGAGCTTAGGGTTTTTCAAAGGGCATTTTAAGGTTGTTTTTTGGTTTTTTGGGTTTTTGAAAGGTTTTTAGGGCTTTTAGGGTTTAGTGTCAGTTTGCGTGACCGTGTTTTGTGATGTTAGATGGTCATTGGGGTTTGCCTGTGAATCAGAAGGTCAATGAAGGCCATGTGCGTCATCTTAACTCTGCGAGGGTACCACTAGCTTATTGGTTCGAGATGTCCACCTCGAGAAGTCATATTGTCTTCGGCCAGGCAATATGTGTAGGTTCTCTACTTACAGCCCATCCGTGCCCCGCCTGATTCGACATGGAGAGCCGGAATCTGAAGCAGCCTCCTAAACCCTAAACCCTAAACCCTATATGGGCACGCACTAGCCAGGAGAGACCGAACGATTCACAAAAAACCCGGCACAGCATGCTAGGCTCTGCTGGGCTCTGGAATGTACAAAGTGACAGCGTTGAGCTGACGCTGGGTTTAGGGTTTAGGGTTTAGGGTTTAGGGTTTAGGGTTTAGGGTCTAGGGTCTAGGGTTTAGGGTCTCCTGCCACCTCAGTTGCCGAACCTACAAGGCTGCCTTGTGCGACGACGTGGCGCCGCTTGCCAAGTCACAAGTTTGCTACAGCTGCGTGCTTATGCTTATTGTTTTCTGCTGGCTCTTCGCCAAATATGAGGGAATTAGGTACCTATAGAATCCTCGAGAGAATCCCTTAGAGGGTTTACAGGATGTGACCTAACTCCCTCATGTCCTACTAAGAGCCAATAGGGTTTTACTGCTTGTTCTTCGCACGGCATCATGGAAGGTACAAAAAGGCACATCCTGGAGGTTTACGAAAATATGGACCCATAATACAAACCCCCAAATAGTAGGATTCCCTGATAATCAGGAATATCAGGACCCCAATAAGGTGCCACGAATTTCGGAAACCCCCATGTACGCATCAATGATCTCAGAAACTTCGTATGTGGCCGAGAGGTTTCGCGGATTCCAGCAAGTCTGGTCCGAGAGAGCTGGCCACTGCCGCGGACCCAATAGGTCTGTCCCCTTGTGGCACAGTCTTTCTGGATGCGGTAAGTATCCTTGGACTACATGAACCCGCCCCCTCCCCCAAGCAAAACGGGTTTATGGTCCTACCCTAAGAGGCATCCCAAAAAAGGGTTTAGGGTCCTTATACCCGAAGAGGGATCCCAAAAAAGGGTTTATGGTCCTTAAACCCTAAACCCTAAACCCTAAATCCTATGGTCCTTATACCCGACGAGGGATTAAGTATCCTAAGGAAGCCATGCGCAGCCTGCAAGGCATCCTTTTCCCAGCTGACCTGCCACAAGCCCGAAGCACAGATCTGCTGCAGTGTTCGCAACAGGTTTAGGGTTTAGGGCTTGGCGGGTTTGCCAAGCAGGCGTTTGAGGGTTTTGCGCCTCGTGTGCTCAGGCAATTCAGGTTTCAAGATTGTTTGTTTTCCTACTCGGGGTTTGTGGGCTGAATCTGGAGCAGCTGCACTCTTCTTGGCGAAATGTGGCAACTCGACTTCTTTCGGTTCAGTGTTGAGTTTTCCTGATGCGCGCCTGCTATCGAAGTCCTTGGCCAAGAGGGCTAGCGAGCCTGCTGTGGAGCCGTCGGATTCGCCCATCGTCTTCTCAATTGACAAAGTCCCTGCCTTCTTGAGCTTGAGCTTCTTCAAGATGGAGCGTAGCCGCACGACCTCTAAAGTGACGCCATGGCACCCTGGAAGACATCGGCGCATGATCTGGCCTGCGGACGAGAAGACTCTGCGTTGTATGAGGCGCTGTCAACGGCCCTCCACCAAGTGCTTTGTATAGGCTGTGCTTTGTGCCGTCATTCTGCGTTTCTGGTCATGTGGGATGGACATGCTGCCTTCTGCGTGGTTTTGTCTGGTTGATGACTTGGGGGCTGGAAGATCCCCTGGGAGCCTTCGCAACCGAGACCTGAGACGAACGGCATGCAACGCACAGCCTGTTTCGAGGGAGATGCAGAGCTGTGACCTTGATTGTTGGAGAAATCTCTTCGGCCCGCAGCTGCACTTAAAAGTGGAGCGCACCCTGATTCCGCCCAAAGCGCCTACGAGGTGTCCTGACCAGCGGCGGGGGACAAAGGCCAAACGGTGCTCCAAGCCGCGCGACAAGTTCCGCGGCGATAAAGGGACGCCCTCAGCAAGAGTCAGGAAAAGAGACAAAGTGCTCCAAGAAAGCAATGCTCGGCGTCGGCGAAAGCACAAGTCGCCAAAAGCAAAGCTAGTCAGACCGAAGCCGGCAACGCCTGCAAAAACTCGGGTGACTGTAACTTTGAAGCTACCAGGATGCAGTCCTGTGAGAGGCGTTGCTGCGTCTACAGCGGAGGCCGAGAAAAAAGCAGCTGCCAAATTTCGGAGCATGCTGCACAGTTCACCTGGCAGTTCAGAAGACTTTCAGTCCAAGCAAACACTGGAGAAGAATCTGGCCAAGATGCTCGCCAGGGCTCGCAAGCACTACAACTTTAGTTCCAGTCTGCTCACTGGGGCTTGCAGGCATTGCAACTTTACTTCACTACCGGATGAAGATGCATGTCATGACAACCTCGAACTGCTGAATGCCATTTTCTTGGCATGGCTGAACCAAGAGGGCAATTCAACCCCGGAAGAGGATCCTTGACTGGTATTCTCGCTGTGGCTGTGGAAGTTTCTGGGGGGGGGGGGGGGGGGGTGCTCTCTCGTAGTGTATGGGCACGTCCCGAAAGTCGGATTTCTAGTTCTTGTATTCACGTAGCTTCATGAGTCTAGAGAAGGTTTTTTGCGCTCCATATACTTCGGGAGCGCCCCTTCATTCTTATCATAATATTGTTCGTGTCACCGTTATTTTCATACTCGTCACTTCTTTTCTTTGGATTTTCTACTTGTCTTATCTTTGGCTTGTATTTTAACTCCTTTTAATGAACGCATTAGAGAACTGTAAAATCCCAGAGTTTGGACTCAGCAAGCAGTGCAGTCACAGTCTCAAATGCCAAAGCCACATTCAGCAACAGCAAACGAGCCTCAGGCAAACCCGTTTGCTCTTGCTGACGCCGTGTTCCACATTCGCTGAAGGTGGCCCTTTCTAATGTTGAATTTTCTCAACGAGGTCGGGCAGGAATCAGGCCATCGCGATTGGGGGTGGTGCGGGTGGTGCGGGTAGAAAGTCCGATAGGAAAAATATGGTTTGCAAGGGGGTAGGCGTTCATTGCTGTTTTGTCGCCTGGCCTGCATTTTCAATGACAACCCTCAGCTCATCTATAGTTGCATAGGTGAACCGCCCTGCATTTCTCTTCTTAAATCATTTTAAATCATTCCCTGGAAAGCAAGCCCAGAGTTCCCACTACATGCACTCCTGCATGTTCTCGTGATTCCAACCCCTCGTGTTCTCCGCATCTTATTCGGACGAGTTGCTGAGAACTTGCCAGGCATCTACGAGGTGACAGGGGAGAGGGGGGGGAGGGGGGGGGAGCCCCAACCCCCCCCAATCCCCCCTCACTCCCGTGTGTGCAGAACCATGTCCTTGCTACCGGACGCGGCTCCCTGCTTGTTGTTAACCAAAAGCGCTTGGCAAGTCCTAAGAAGAAGCAAGGCCAAGAGGAAATGGATTAACATCTGTACTCAAATGCACGTCCGGGCATCAGTTTGGGACCTGGAATCTTGTCAAGCCTTGGTTGTTCTTCTGCCAAATCCAAAAAGCACACAAAGCATAAAACAGAGCACAAAATCCCAACAAATCTGGAACCTTTTTCTATTGTTGAACTCACTAATGGACAGGGTCGGACAGTTTTGCTCGGGTCGTGCGGTTGGCGATGTCTTGCTTATGTGTTTGCTGAATGAGGCTTTGTGGCATGTTGAATTCTGCTAAGGGGGTCGGACAGTAGACTCGGGCGGTTGGAGGTCGCCAGCTCATCGTTTGCTGAATCCGGTTTCTGCATGATTCTGCGTATGCTGAAAACTTGCTGAACGTGGGTCATTTCTAGGTTCCTCGGCTGAAAGTGGCTTCTGCATGTGCTGAATGTGGCTTTTTCTAGTGTTGACTTTACTTGCCGGGTCGAACGGTGATTGCCGATCGAGCGATTGGTGATATCTGCCTTTTATCGTTTGCTGCTTGTGGCTTTGCATGTGTTGGAGACTGCTTCTAATGTTGAATTAACGTCCTAGACCTCGACATTCCAGTCATGCCGCTGATCACTTTTGTGGGCTGTTTGTTGAGCGTGTCGTCTCTCGGTACAGGTCCAGTCGAAGCAAACAGAATTCCGAGTTCATGGCAGTAGTCCCGCCGTCTTGCAACTAACTGACTTGATAGTCAACTCGTAGCCGGGAGACGCCAAGGAGGATCTTTGTTCCCTTATGACCAGCGTGCGGCGCGTCGGTGTGGAGAAAGGACATCTGCCTCGTCACCAGGACCCCGAGGTTGGAAGACTCGGGCTAGGTTACAATGAAGCTCATGCACGAAAGGAAAAAACTGAAAAACCCCAAACCCTAAATTCCCTAGATCCGAAGCCCACCTTGCAACTGGCAAAGAACAAACGGTTTTGTGGTGGCTGGTCTGCCCAGCCTAAACCCTAAACCCTACCGCGAGGAGCCGAGCCCAAGTCAAGCCGAAGCCATGACCCCATGCCTTAACCCCCCCCCCCCCCAACCCTAAACCCTAAACCCTACGTTAACCCTTAACCCCCCCCCCCCCCGAAATGTGCGGCTCGTGAAGTTTTTGTTTCAGATTCTTAAGGGGTTTGTTGTGTTTTTTGTACCCTGCTTTTTTGAGTATGACCCCTTGTGTCCATTTCGAAGAACGTAGTGATCAATGCAATGTGCACAATCAAATATATTATATATTTTATATTTTGCTCAAGTGTATTGATTGTTGTGTATTGATGTTGTGATATGTATATGAATTGCATAATATTTGATTCTGTTGTTTTCGTGATGGCAGCTAGAAACTTATTGTATTTATATTCGATTGTTGTTAGAAAATGTTTTCTCAATATCTTGGCCTTGTAAAATATCTGATTTTTTTCAGATTCTTAAGGGGTTTGTTGTGTTTTTTTGGTACCCTGTTTTTTGAGTATGACCTCATTAGAAGATTCTAGTAGCATAGTACTACCATATTCGACTATATTATGTTCGTACATTTTTATATGAGTGTACATGTGTATTACTATTCGATTATGTCGTTATGCCATTCTTGTTCTTACAATGTTGCATTATCTTAGTAACATTCTGCCTGTTGCTTATGATTGTACTATATACATAAATATAAATATATAGATAGATATATATATATATATACATAGTTGTTAGTGTAATATTGTGTTATTGTTTCCAAATATTTTTGTATTTGTGTTGTGATTTTACTATTATGATTACATGATCATGCTACTTTTCGGTTTCAACAGGAGTCGGGGTTTAGGGTTTAGGATCTGTTAGAGCGCCAGAAGCATCTCGGACAGCAAGCCCACCAATTATCTGGATGGAGAGCAGTGCAGACGTTTCAATCACCAGTTTAACGACTTGAGAAAGCAAAATGCCCTGCAGGACCGGACCGGCTTTCGCCGATTCATGTCTTTCGGCCGGGCAGTCCGCGACTATTTGGACTACGCAGATGGCAAGCACGCGAGTTTAACCTGCGCCGCAACTAGAGTGGAGAACCTGATGAAGGATGCACAGGCGCAGAGTAAAGAAGAAGAACGAGACATGAAGCAGAGGCTGAAGGCAACGGCTGAGCAATTTAGTCGCGCTTGCGCTGAGAGGCCTCTTGTTTTTGACAGACGGAACTTTCAGCAAATGGATGAGCTCCTCAGAAATGGGTCAGAAGGGCACAGGGATGAGAGGCGACGGGCAGAAGGCTTGCTGATCCAGCAAGCAGATGAGCTACAGCCGCAGTACCGTTTTGTGAAAACCATCTTGCCCTTGGTGGCGCGCTGCATCGGCCAGGAGCTTGGACAGCACCATAAGTTGGAGTGTGCTGGCTCTAGCCGCACGCGCACGGGAATCCCCGGCAGCGACATGGACATGTACATCATCTCTGATTCGCCGGTGACCAAAGACAAGATGCGAAAACTCGCGGCGTGCTTGCACCATCGGGCGGCCAGCTTCAACACAAATCGCACAGTACTCCCTTGGAACCCTGCGCCAATAGAAGGTTTCCGGTGCAGGGGGCCGAAAGGGAACCACAAGAAGCCTTCGGGAATTCATGTTGGCCGGAGCCCGAGGGGCTCGGCGCTGAGGTTGTCAGCTCAGGACGACTCTTGTTTTGAAAGAATTGCTTCTTCTTATTGTTTTTTCATATTCTTCTTATCTATTTCTGTACCATAGTGATATGAGGTTATATGATTACTTTTTTGGTATTGTTATACTAGTACCTTAATGTTCTACTATTTCGTACTATGCTATCAATCGATTTCCACATGATTGTACTATTCTATCGTGCTGAGACCTGAGTTATTGTATTATTGGCTACTATATGATTATAATCATTTTTCACCGTTGATATTGAAATATTTGTATACTTTCGTGCAGTAAGACTAACAGTAGTAAGAAAATGCCATCTAATGTCATGTGAGAATATATGTCCTGATTACACTGGTGAATCATAAGATTGCATGTAGATGCGACCCCAACTGCAGTGGTAAGCATCTGTGACTGCATTTGTCAATATTACTTCTGCCCTAGGACATGCGTAGCTCGAGCAGATGACATGATGCTTGTGGACAGAAGGTTCCCCTCACTCGAGATGCTTCAGTTGAGGAAACCTACGATATCTTGCCCGAGCAGCCAGCCGAACTACTGCCAGATTTTCTGCAGGATAGCGTTGCCAAATTGACTCACGTGGCTGGGGCTGTACAGTATGCATGTCGTGGGAGCATGAGGGTTTATCAGGCAAAGTCGTAGATTCGACGTAGATGGCGCGATCACTATATTTCCGACAAGGGGTGGCCATGGATGACTTCCCAAATTGCTTGTGCCTAAGGAAGAACACGGAAATGCGGATTGGCAACGGGAGAGTAGATTCATCCAGTACCCTGGCCCCTTGAAGTAGGAGTTGAGGGTCAAATTGGACGGCCTGGTTCAGGGTCAACTTGCGCGGCCTGCTTCGCCAGAGCAAGCGAGCCTATCAGCCTTGCAATGGGGTGGGACAGTTTTGCTTGCCTACAAATATTCTTCCTTATTAAGGGTAATACAGGGATAACTGTTTTTTACTCTTTTGGGGGTTCTTAAGCAAATAGCAGTTGCAGGAGAGACATTACAACACCAGAGGAAACTGCCAGCAAGTAGCCAACCTGGAGGAGAATGAGCCTCGGCATGGTTGGGAGCGATCTTTCGCAGCTAGTCGCATGAAACTCGATGAGCCTGCGTGGTAGACTTGATGTCGCGCTCTCTTGCTGTAAGCTCTTGATGTGGCGTGCCTTGCGAGATATGAAGAGATGCAAGTCTGCCAACAATTCCTGTGATAATGGCACTACGATCAGGACTGGTTCTACAACAGACGCGGTCTCCAACGCGGTGTACGCTTCACCAGGTACTACTGCAGCAACAAGTCCCTGGGCAGCCAGCTTGTGACAGCCTGCGTTGAAGATCTCGGGCGCAGTGCATACTTTTCTTCGGCTAACAAACGTAGAAAGGAAGAGATAAGACGACTCCTGGGCATCAATAGTTTTGTCACCGTGCCGCAGGTACAATGGTCCCGGCGATGTTAGAGAGTGGGCGATCAAGCAAGTGCTCATCCGGCGTTTGGTGCATCAGATCTCTGTCGTGGAGGGCTTTGAGCCCGAGTACATGGACCGGACTGGTGTCTTAGGGATACTTGTAAAAGTTTTTGTTTTGCACCTTTAATCCCCAAGAAGCAGCTAAAATCATTAATTGTTGTTAGGGTTCCAAGTTAGGCACTCTAAGCCCTAAACCAGTATAGGTGTGCTGACATTCCTTTCCCACTGCGATCGGTCAAACATGAGTCCGGGCCATGCATTTCGCCGACTCCGCGACCCTGGCCTGGCGGACATCGATTGAGATCGCTGGGCGCGTGAGGATGGAGGGTTTAGGGTTTAGGGTTTAGGGTTTAGGGTCTAGGGTTTAGGGTTTAGGGTTTAGGGTCTAGGGTTTAGGGTTTAGGGTTTAGGGCATGATACGACCTTGCCTTAGTGGCCAAAGACTGGCATTCAGAAGATATGCATGCACCAAAGCCTTTGAATCATGGACCTATTACCTGGAGGGCAGCATCTCGTGATGGCGTTCGTTGAGCAGTCGCCGTTCCAAAATGACCGTACAGAGACCGGTGACTCGGGTTTCCGGGCTGGCCTGCTGAAGAACCGGCTATGTTTGGCAAAGGGTAACGGTGGGCTTTCCAAAAATAGTCTTGGGGGTGAGCGCTTGAAAGCAGATAAAACAGCCGATGAATCCCAGCAGTAACTAATAGTCAGGAATGTGATGGGTCTCCGTTTTCAAGCAGAACATGCCGGGGGGGACTAAATGAACGCCTTTTTGGCGGTTCATATTACATATAGCCACATAGGGAGTATAGGTAGGTGACCCCACTTTTCCGTGCCATTTGGTCCCTAAGGAATAGGTTTAGGATGACCATGAGTAAACCCTAACTTAGTGGGTCAAGCAGCACCTGACAGATCTGACTTGGGGATGCGCAACTGCATGCAAATATTTGTGACGTTGATCCGGTCTCGTCCCCCTCGACCTTTTCGCACCTGAACGTCTTGGGAAGCGTTTGGCACAATGCAAGAGCGCACGCAACATAGGCCCACTGCCAGTCCCTCAACAACCCTTGAGCATGTGAGGCGGAGATATGGGGAAGGTCGGCATGTGAAGGCAGAACTTGTGGGAGCCCGCCCAGGACCAGCAGAGACAACTCCGCAAGCAGGCTTCTTGCTCGGGGTTGGCTTTGCCGCACCCCCCCTCCCCACCCTCAACCACGGCTGTCGCCCGCCCTGGATTGACACCTCAAATGGCCAGGCAGTGTGGTTTAGGGCTAAAGTTTAGGGTCGGCTTAAAGCCGCCTATTCCTTGTGGGCTTTAGGCGGTTTAGCAAAGGACCAGGTTGAGTTTTAGGCCCCCACTGCGCCTGTCGGGCCATGGGTACTTGAGTCATAATAGTAAAAGTTACTATCATTGTCTCTCTCCGTTTGAATTTCAGGACCCAGGGTAGGCCTCTGTTCTAAGGTTTTGGTTCCCTTATAAGCCCCTGTAAACAGAAAAGGGTACCCTTTTTCATTCCTAGGCTACTCATGGGTCTAGAATTTCAAGACTTCAATAGCCCTTGAAGATGGTTGTGGCTCTGTGAGGCTTTGGACTTCATCTCCCAGATTCTTCGCGGCTTCGTGCGTCAGTGGAACGAGGCTCTTCCACCGACTGTCCATCATAGGACCTTGTAAGCATGTTTTTTATTAGGATCAAATATTGCTACGATGATGCTTCTGACTAGAAGATAAAAGTACGATTGCGAACTTAGGATGTTCATGATTGTTAGTCACCCAAGCATGTCAACACCAAGGCCCCCCCTCCCACCCAAAAAAAAAAAGCCTATTCTAACTATTCAGGCCCCTACATTACGTACTTTCCTCAGCGACGCCCGATGTGTGATTTGCCGCGCCCTGGTCTTATAATGTTCTGGGCCTGCGCCGACTAAACCCTAAACCCTAAACCCTTAAACCCTAAACCCTAAACCTGCTGCCTAATCTGGGCGATCCCAAGAAAGTCCCGAAAAATGATCTCGGCATCCTAGTGGTTGAAGGCATATTCCTCTTGCGCTCTTTGGGTCTTTATGTGCCATGATTTGCTGTCAGGCTTGAGTTGTTCAGATGCTTGTGTCGGGAAGCGGTGCCATTGACTTTCTTCTGTGAGATCTTACGGGCGCCGGCGCCCAAGTTCGAAGGCGGGATCTTCTGGCTCGCATGTCAACATACATGCTGTAAGCAAGGCATACAGTTCTTACGTTTCTTTTAGGTCCTTCGCTGAACCTTTCCCACCCGTGCAAGAAACTAGGTAAACTGCGTGTGCGCAGGAGGTGAGGGCACAATATCCCCCATCCCCTAGACCCTAAGTGCCCCTAAGCCCACCTGGAAGAAGGAGGCCGCTTCTTTCAGGTTTCCGAGACTTGTGGCGTAGCGACATCTTGTGCATTGCTCGAGCTGATCTCTGGACCTGCCTTTCATTGGCTGTCGCCAACATCCCTAAAAGCTACGCGCCTTCAGCCCACGACGTACGTGGCGCTTCAAGCATTGCCCTCGGTATGTCCTTAAAGTTCGCCCTTTTCCCTGAACCCGTTGACCTGCTTCTCAGAAGTGGATGCACTTTGAGGTGAGGAGATACTTTGGATTGGGGCAGTGGCAGGCTTCACCTCACCTGATCTCCACCGGCCGTTAGAAATACCCCCCCCCCCCCCCCCCCCCCCCCAAAAAAAAAAAACAAAGAAGAAAGCAGCAACAAGCGAGCCATGCATCCCATGAAGCGCTTGCGCCCATACAACTGGTCTGCCAAGCTACATGTTTGGACAGCCTCGGGGGAGGAGCTGGCTGCCATACCGGCAACGTGGACAGAGAGAGCCCAATACCCCTTAATTAAGGAATATGCCTTAATTCATCATGAGGATCCCTACATCATTTAAGGCACATTCCTTTTTGAAGGGGTATTGGGGACAGAGTTGAGTGTTGCGAGGTTGAAGTTCGTTGTCTCGCGCGGTTTCTTGAAGGGTGCTTGGCTGCTTGTTCTTCTACCTTCAGCTCATGTACCAACTTGCAGAGGACTCACTGAACTTTGCCGGACTATACCACCTCAAAGCAGCTTATTGTCCCAGGTGAGAGAGCTGAAAGATGTTCGCACTTTGAAGCAGCAGCTGCAGCTGCTATGTGGCGCTTCCCGGTTCCAGCAAAGGCTGCTGCATGGCAACGCTTGCTTGGAGGATGCCGACACTAAGGCACAGTTCCCAGTATGGACTTGTCAAACATTTAGGAACTCAGGGTTTCTCACAAAATCTGAATGGCTACTGGTTAAGGACCACAGTGGGTGACCTTGAACTGAGGGTGCGCAAATCGCTGTGAAGATCCGAGGACCGAGTGGTCGAGCCTATCGACGTGCAGCTGGTGTTGCTTCCGCTGATCCCGGCCTCGAGGGAGGAGGAAGGGGAGCTTCGGGATGCAGTCCGAAGTGGCCAGGCATCAAAGGTGGAAGCCATACTGAGTCGACCACAAAATCCTGACGTTCAACATGCGAGCCGATTTGCACCTGGGCCTCTCCATGTAGCAGCCAGGCACAACCACCTTGAGATTCTCCGTTTGCTTCTGGAAGCTCGTGCGGACATGGACGCGATCTGCGCTGAAGAGACACCTCTGGGCACGGCTTCTGCAGCAGGTAGGGAATGAGGGAAGGGGGTACTCTATATACTCCCTTTAAGGGTATAATATAGGGCCTTCATTTCCTCACTCCCTACGAAGAACCAAGGCCACGTAGAGGCGGCGCGCCTTCTTTCGGAGGCTGGTGCAAAGATCGACAAAGGGAGGTCCGGCATGACGCCGCTCCGCTTGGGCATCGAACCTTGGGGACTATAATATGGGCCTTAAATAATGAGAATTGGGTCTTTGGGGGGGGGGGGGGGGGGGGGGTGATTTTTGTACATGTATAAAGGGACCATAAGGGAATAATATCAGCAACCAGCCCGACCCCTAGAATACATGAACCCTGAAATTTGGGGTCACCCCTAGTATTCTCACTCGAATTGGGATTGCAGCCAGAAACCGCTTTGGGGGTTAAATTGAATTTTTCAAAGGAACGGGGCCATGTGGATGTGGTGCGCATGCTGCTGACAGCTCGTGCAAATTCAAGTAAAGTCGCCCAAGGCGAGACGCCTCTTTGCCAGGCGTCTCGCTTAGGCCGGGCAAACATGGTGAGCTTGCTGTTGGCGAGCGGCGTTCACAGGAAGAAGTCTAGCGGCTCCGGTGTTCACTCGTTGATGTCACCGCTCGGATGGGCATGCCACCATGGACATGTGGAGATGGCGCGGATGCTGCTGGAGTCGGGGCTGAACAGAGACCAGGTCTGCGCCTTCGACCGGCAAACACCTCTTGGCTTAGCAGCTGCCCTCGGCCACGTGCAGATTGCGCGTTTATTGTTGGAGGCCGGTGCCGACAAGGAGAAGGTTTGTGAAAAGGGTGGCAGGACGCCGTTCGGCGTGGCATTGCTACATGGCCATGTGCAGATAGTGCGTTTGCTTTTGGAGGCCAGCGTTGATCAAGATAGGGGATGCGGAGACCTTGGCAGTGCAACCCCCCTAGGTGTGGCTTGCAGACTGGGTCACGTAGAGACGGCTCGTGTGCTGTTGAAGTTTCATGCTGCGAAGGAACAGCCCTGTGGATATCAGGGCTTAACGCCCCTTGCTGTAACATGCAAGTTTGGCCATGCAGAAGTGGCGCGCGTGCTCTTGGAGTTCAGGGCAAGTACAGAGCGTTCTTGCGGACAAGACTTCACCACACCTCTTCTCCTGGCGTGCAAGCACGGCCACACAGAGGTCGCAAACGTACTATTGGACTTTGGCGCCAGCAAGGACCAATCTTGCGGCAGTAATATGGTGACGCCTCTTGGGGCAGCATCGTGTGAAGGTCATGTGGAGGTCGTGCGACTACTCCTACGGGCTCGAGCCACAATGCCAAGCAAGGCAGGCGAGGAGACTCCCCTCAGTGCCGCAGCTCGCAACGGGCACCAGAACATCGTGGCACTCTTGCAGGGTGCAGATCAGTAGTGGCTAAACATCCTGGGCCTCTTTGTCTTCCTCCAGTCCGGCGGCCGGCGCCTCTCTCTCTGTCTCTCTCTCACTCTCACTCACTCTCTCTCCCTCTCTCTCTCTCTCTCTCTCTCTCTCTCTCTCTGTCTCTCTACGGCAAAACGGATGGTAATGGTGTGTGGCCAACAATTTTCGAAGGTTCCGACAAGACCGACATCTGCAAGTTGCGCGGAGGCTTTCTTCACAACACCTCCTCACCAATCTTCCGGCAGGTGTGGTATAGTTT